GTCTGCTTCACCCACGGCCCCACCTGTACAGTAAAACCGGCCGAGGGCACCTCCTCCAAGGGCTGTGGTGACAGGTGAGTGACCGGCTGTGTCGGGCACCCGGGCGGCGCCTGGCACGTGACCAGCACCGGCGCTGGCTGCTGGTGCGCCAACGAGCCGGCACAGGAGTGCCGCGCACGGGCAGGAGGGGAACACTGCGTCTCTCTCGTCTCGGTCAAGGTCAGAGGGAGGCTCCAGCGGCAGGACTGCGGCTGCCCGAGGTGGTTCTGCCACCGAATCTCGAATGTCGAGGGAAAAGCACAGGTCGGGGCTGGACCCGCACCCTGCCGCTCCTCGGTCCACATCCCCGAGGGACCTGGCCCGTGACCGAGGTCCAGTGGGACAACAGAGCATGCCAGCGGCGTGCCCACCTGTGCCCGGGCCCCCGTTCCCAGTGTTGGCGACGCCCCGTGGGCAAGGACTCCAGTGGCCCCCTGTGGGGGCAGTCGGTGAGACTCAGGTGACAGAGCACACCCAGGTGGGGGCAAGGGTCAGGACGTTCCACCCAGAAGCCCCGGTGCTGGACCCCAGCCCCCCCCCCCAGTGCAGCCCCCTGCCCAGCTGCTTCCTCTCCGAAAGGCCCCCAGCCGGGAGGGGCAGGGCACAGTGGCTGAAGGTCCTGGGGGCACCCACAGGACACACGCAGGACAAGTGCCCTGGGTCTCAGCGCTGGCCCAGAGACTGGCCGCTGGCTCTGCGTGGGCATTCCCCCCGCCCCACCGCCTGCCTCCACAAAGCCCAAGGCCCCGGAACCTTCCCGTGGATCAGAGGAGGGAGGGGGAAGGGCAGGCGCTCTCCAAGGACCCCAGCCTCCTCCCAAGTCCTCGCTGTATCGGTGTCCGTTATTAAAGCCCAGGGCGAGGAGGGCGTGGCAACCTCTTCTAGCCCCGATGACACCAAGTTCCCCTTCCAGGGGGAGACTCCCAGGTCCAGAGGCCAGGCCGTGCCTGAGGCAGACGGACAGCCCCGCCCGCCACCCGGCGGGCACCCCAGGCCGCCCCGAGAAAGGCAGGTGCCCACTCTCCGGGCGCACGCGGGGAACCTGTGGCGCCCTCACAGACGACGGACGTGACGTCTTCAGAAAGGAGGGGCCCTGCCCAGGCGGCTCGGTTGGTTGGGGCGTCATCTCGTGCCCCAAAGGACTGGGGGTTGGAGTGTGTGTCTGGCACAGCGGCACAAGCCCTGAGGTTGTGCAACCAGAGTGCGGACGTGAACAGGAAAAACCTCTCTCCGCCATTGCCCATTTCGGTGCCACGTGGGTGCCAGTCTTTTCGGGGTGATCACCTTGTGAATTACATAGATGCCACTGTTGAACCCTTGGAACTGATGTGTCAGCTGCGTGTCAGCTGTTACTGGAAAATTAAAACTTTTTAAAGATCACAAAGGAAATTCCCCACCTCGGTGGAGCAGACATCGATAAGTCAGCTTATATCCGGTCCTAGGGCTCCGCACCCGAAATGTGTCTGAAAAAGTGAATTTACCCATGAAGTACCAACGGCCTTTATTTAGGAAAAAGCTTTCAAGTTTGGTAACAAGTAATGGTCACGTTTAAGAAAGCTGAATTAAAGGTTCAATCAGAACTACGTTCCACATTCCAAGCATAAGCTCCCTGCTCCGGAGCGGCCGGGGGTCAGGCTCTTGGCCCCTTCCCTCTGACGGCCTCGGGCTGGACTCACTGCCCAGCTCGCTGGCGGCCAGTCCGGCTGCTCCGGCGACCCCTTCGAGTGACCGAGATGTCCTCCTTGAAAGGGGTTCCGGCAACGAGACGTCCTGGTTGTGAAGATACGCTTTCTGTTTTTCACAGAGTGTCTCCACTTCCAACTCCCGAGTTGGATTAAACACCTGTTGTTGTTGTAAAGATTTAAAGTGGAAAATCGTTTTATTCTTCCCCTTTGACGACGCTGACGATCAGTCGCGATGCCGCGGTCCAGACCCTGCTGCCCCCCACAAGGCCCTGCCCCGCAGGGACAGGCGGGGCGGGGCCTGCACTCCGCCGGCTGCACAAGGGCCACGCCCACTGTCACAAGGGCCACGCCCACTGTCACAAGGGCCACGCCCACTGTCACGGCCGGTCTCCACAGCCGCCTCCCGAGCCGCCTGCAAATCAGCCCCGTGACTTGGGGGAGCACTGGGTTCTGCCACGTACGATGTGCATTTTTTGCCCAATTTTTGAGGGAAAAATAAGGACGTGCATCATCCATGGGAAGTAGCCAAAATGCCTTGTATCTGCTCTTGTGGTTTCTAATCGTTTGTTACATAAAGTTTCTTGTACTGTAATGTGTTAAAAAAGTAAGCGCTAAAATCCCTTCATAATACAAAAATTAAGTTAGCTACACAGAAATACATGGAAGTGTGGGCCAAGCACGTGGGTGCGCGTTACACACGGGAGTGCGGCAGACACGGCTGGCCGAACACGGTCCACAGGCCAGGGCTGGGGGCGGGGGTGGGGGTGGCTCCTGAGGCTCCCAGCTCCTCGGTCCGGGCAGGAGGGCGGTTCCCTCGCACGCCCAGTGGGCGGGGGCAAGCGTCAGGCGTGGGGACAGAGACCCCGGCACCCACGCTGCCGCTGGACCCTGGGTCAACGTCTCAGGCCCGAGGGCTTCACCTGCCCCGCCCCCGGTCCCTCCTCCTCCCGCTGGTGCTCTTCTGCCCGTGGGCGGGCACCAAACCACATCAGAGCGTTGGAAAACGCCGCCCTCCCTGTGGGCTGCGTCCCCTGGGGACCCTCCCCTCGCAGGGAGGTCACCTCCAGGCCCAGCACACGCGGGGGGCCGCCGCCCTCCCCTGCACAGTCGCGTCTGGAAGGCGGCGCTGCGACGGCAGGAGCGGTTTGGGGCCAGAGGGCGAGCAAAGCCCCGGCGGCGGCTGCCGGGCCGGTGCTCCCGGGCTTGGTGGGCTGATCGGCCCCGAAGCCCAGGGCCCCGGGCATGAGGAAAGGTGAGTGGGGGCGCCGCAGGGGCAAGTCTCCAGCAGAGCTGGGCGCGCTGAACTCCCAGCAGGCAGTGCGGCTCGGCCCCCACCCCCACACGCACCCCATGCTCAGGGCCCTCCACACCCCCCCCACAGCCCCCACAGAGCTCAGACCTGGGGCCGCCAGACGGCGTCACCTGTCCCTGCCGGGGACCCCTCCGCCTCCAGGGTCCGTGCGGCCGAGAGAGGAGGTCGGTCCTGACCCAACGGCTCCCCGAGCGCAGGCTCGATTTTGTGACCTTTGGACGTGCCGCTGGGCCCAGGGTCGCCTCGCCCCTGAAGCACATCCGACAGGCAGACGGAGAGCGGCCGCCCAGCAGTCGGCCCGAGGGGCGGGCCTTCCCGGCTCTGGCCGCAGACACCGGCAGCATGTGCGCCCCACTCACGGCCACGCACCTGGGGCCCCCGGGGCCCCCCGCCAGGCTAGGAGCAACTCGGACGAACACGTGCTCTGCACGGGACACGCTGAAAACCCAACACTGGCCCAACTGCAACCCCGACACTCGGCCACGGAGGGGACCGCGGACGCTGCTGTCTCCCCGGAGTCGCCCAGCGGAGGGGAAGCCTGTCCTGAAACGCAGGGACCGGAGCGACGACCGTGGGCCGGACCGGCGGTCCCCGAACCGGAGAGGCTGGCTGGTGGTGCCAGTCGGCATTTTCTTCGTCATCAGACCTGCGGTGGCGAGGATGCTCCCGCCCGGGACCAGGTGGGGCCCAGAGGTGACTCGGCAGAGGACGCCACAGGACAGGCGCACTGGCGGGCAGTGCAAACAGCGTGACAGCAGGACGCAGACGGCTGACCCTGGGGGTCAAGGGCACAAGGAGAGGGCGGGCTCCTCCTCCTCCTCCTCCGGGGCGAGGGGCGAACAGAAGCGCGGTCACCCCCACGTCCGCCGGCAGCGGGCAGGTTTGCTTGCACGACTCTCATTCCACACGGAAAAAGGCAGCTCACGGCCCGGGCCCGAAGGAGCCCCGCCTGATTACACGCAGCCGGGAGACACGCCCTCTCGGGGCAGGAGGCGGGGCCACGCCCACCTCTGGGGTGCAGACCCCGCCCCCATGGCATGCTCTGGGCCCCCCCACCCCCACTGCAGCCTGGGAGGGCCAGCCCTCGCTACCGCCCACGCATTTCCTGTTCGTTTGTTTGTTTTAATTGATTTGCGAGAGGAGGGGAGACAGAGACAACGACCAGTTGCCTTCCACACACACCCCAAGTGGGGACCAAACCCGCAACCCAGGCATGTGCCCCTGCTGGGGATCGAACCCACGACCAGCGGAACCACCGACCAGCGGGCGGGGCCTTCCTTGTCTCTTCTCTGAGTGGCCGCCAGGCAGCTGCGGGGAGCCCTAACCACCAGACAACAGGCCGGGGAAACGCCGCGGCCACGGCAGGGCCGCAGGCCCCCCGAAGCTCAGCAGCGTGAGGTGCGCTTAGCCACCCTGCTGATGGCACGCGTGACGGAGGCCCCACTGAGCGACTGGCTTCCACCCGCTTGACTCGGGGTCAGAGCCGGCCTGAGCTCCCCACCGACCTCCGGGGGGTCCCGGGCGGTGCGAGGGCCGAGTCAGGACAGCCCAGGTGACGACGGTGAGCTGGGACGCTGCCCACGCACCGGCGACGCCCCGCGTGTCCCCGCTGCCCGCGCCCCGTGCTCCGGGGAAGGGCTGGCTGGGCTGCACCCATCAGCCACCGAGCAGCACGCGCTGCCGCTCCCGGAGCCGGGTCCGGCCCACCCCGCAGCGCCTCGTGCCCCATGCCTCGTGCCCGAGCTCAGGGAGGCGGTCAGAAGACTGGTCCGAGAGCCAGTGAGGGGGGCGCCGCTGGCCCGGGAGCGGCTCCGAGGGCCCCCAGCCCGGTCCCCGCCCCCCGAGGACTCCCTCCTCCACGGGCCCGCGGCAAGGGCCCCGCGTCCTGAAAAGCAGACTTAACGTGAGCCCATTACGCCGCATTGCGTAACGTCTCTGTAAAGACACACCTTTCCGCATGAGGCTTTTTGTGGATCCCAGGGTGTTTATTGCATTCTGTTTTTGGTGGAAAAACGTAACGTAGGTGTGTTTAGCACAGCCCGCGGAGCGCACGGGGCGGGGCGCGGCGGGGCCGGGAGAAGCCCCGCCCCTTGCGTCCAGAGGCCGCACTCAGCCCCGCTCCGAGGTCTGGAGGCACTTCCCGCGCTCAGGCCGCGCGGGGCGGTCGTCAGTTTTCTCCTTTCAGCGTGGACAGCAACTCGCCATTTTCCTTCAGCTCCTGCAGAGGAGAAAGAAGAGAGCGACGTGTCTGTGTCTGTGCAGAGGACCCGCGGTTACAGACGCGTGTGTGTGTCCGAGACCCAGAGGAGGCCCTCACACTGAACACAAAGTAACAGACGCACTTCGGGGCTACTCGAGTGCCACAGTGCCACACATTACACCTCCTTCCCAGCAGCCACGAGACAGTTGGCTGGAAAGATGCCGCCCCGGCTGGCTCCAGAGGCGCCGTGCGGGCAGCACAGGGGCGGGGGGGAGCCCATAGGCGCAGCCTCCCCGCTCCAGGGCCGGCGCGGACAGTGGACAAGTCTGAACACCCCCCCCCCATGTCACTGGACTCAGCGCTGCCGACAACCTGCCTCCTGCTCGGAAGGGCAGAGACCGGACCCCCGAGGAAGTCCTGGCCACGAGCCGGCTGGCGCTGCTCTCTCGGGCCCACCCCCTCACTGCCACCCCCTGCAGCGCTGGGGTGCTGGGGTGGCGGCACAGCCGCGGCCGGGGCAGAGACAGCCGCGGCCGGGTCAGAGTCCGCTGGCCTCTGCGGCTCTGGGCTGACCACCGAGTCTGGAGCACTCGGGGGCCATCACGCGGGGGCGCCCTCCATTCCACACTGAGTTCCGGAAGAAGGTCCCGCCACTGACAGCCCCGTGGGGGCGTCCTCTGAGTGCCGCGGGGGCCAGGGGACGGGACCCACCTTGACGATGTCCAGGCCCCCAACGAGCTCGCCCCGCACGTAGAGCTGCGGGTACGTGGGCCAGTTGGAGAACGCCTTCAGCCCCTGGCGGACCTGCGGAGACAAGGGGCCTGAGCCTTCCCGCCGGGCTGCGCGGGGGACGGACAGACACACAGAGGACGGACACACGGGACTCACCTCCTCATCCTCCAGGATGTCGAACGTCTCGTAGTCGACACTGGAAAAAGGAAAAACGTTTCAGCTGGAAACTCGGCTTTAAACAGAAACTGCGAAGCCCACTTTGTGCTCCAAGGACCATCAGGAGTGAGGGGACCGTCCGGGCGCTGACGACACTCCCTGTGGGGCTCGCGGGCCTGCCCCAGCGACAGGGCCTGCTGCCTGCCTGCATGCATGCGTGAGGCCACCACCACCCACCGCACAGAGGGGGAAGGTCACCGCGGGGTCGGGGAGCCCGTGGGACTGGGGCCGGGTCGGCCCGAGGTCCCGGAGGCTGGCCTCGGGAGCCCCCCCACCTTGGGGGAGCATGTGTCCGGCGACCGGGCCACAGGGACCGCCCAGAAACAAGGCAGGTTAAATCAGCAGCAGGGATCAAACAAGACACGTTTGAGAGGTGGAAACGCATTGTTTGAGAAAGGGCCCAGCCCGCACGAGGTGAGGCTCCCGTCCGGGGGGCCGAGGGGGGCGGCTCCTTAGGCCAGGCCGTCTGAGAGGGGGTGGGGCACAGGCCGTCCTCTGTCACCAGAGTCCCAACAGCCCCTTGTACAGGTGGCAGTCACGTCTCAGTGTGCGCATGGGACTCAGCCCCTCGCGGCGAGTGGCGTGGGGGTGGCCAGGCAAAGACACGGGCCAGAGCGGAAGAGGGGCAGAAAGCCGGGGCTCCCTTCCCCAGTGCCCAGGGGAGCTCCGGCTACAGACCCGCAGAGGCCTCGGGGGGAGGGGAGAGGGGGGCAGTGGGGCACTCTCTCCCAAAGAGGCCCCAGCTCCAGGGAGCCGGCACCCTGCCCCTCCTGGGCTGCATGGACGCGGGGCAGACAGCAGGATAGACGGCAGACAGGGAGACGCCCCCCAGCACGGGAGCTGGCCCAGGCCCAGTGTCCCAGCCTCATGGCCCAGCCGAGGTGCCCAGGGCCAGGCTGGGGCCGGGGAGGAGTGAGCTGTCCGTGTGTCACTGTGGAGCGGGGGCGGAGGGGACACAAAGGGGCCTGAAGGTAACGACCGGACCGAGCCAGCCTGTCCCCCGCCGTCCGCAGCAGAGCCAACAGGTGCGGGCCAGGCCCTGCAGGACAGCGAGCTGGCCGGCTGGGCTCTGTGAAACGTCACAATCGCACGGAGCGTTCGTGTCTGTCCCCAAGGCCAGGTCCACACCTGCGCTGCTCCAGTGGCTGCTCCCAGCCCCGCCAAGCGCACGGGAGCGCCGTGGAAACCACCTTCCCGGCGACCGCCAGGGCCGCGCAGTCCGTGTTAAGCCGCGGCGTGCACGCTCGCCGCACGGAAAGGCAGCCGAGGGCCAGGACGTGAGGGAAACGGGCGGACACATGCGGGAAGGCCCCCGGAGCGCGTGCCGGCCGCACCCACGTCTCGGTTCTGCGTGGGTCTGCAAACGGACGGGTAACGGACACAGAAAAGGGCCTTTGTCGTCGAGCCCAGAAACCGCCCGTCCTCTCCCCGGCGGCTCGGCACCGGGCAGAGGGGGGCGAGGGCCGGGCGTTCCCGCTCCCACTTGCACCCGGAGTGCCGGCCTCCTGGGCTGGTCGGACGCCGAGGTGTGCGCCTCAGGTGCACACGACCCCTCAACCTTGACACACCGTCGGGCCCAGTGGAAGGGAAGTCACTGACCTCCCTCCGGAGCACAGACAGGCAGTCACTTCCCTGTCACTGGGAGTTGGTCGTGGGCCGGGACACTCTCTCGTCGTCGTCACCACCTTAAAGCACCCAGGGCGCAGCACAGCGGGACGGACAGACGCACAGACACTGAACTGGGAACCAGAGTCTCCCGCCACACCCGCCGCCCGAAGAGCAGGTCCACTCACCCAGTGCTGTTCAGTATCTCCAGGATCTGTCTGCTGAACCCGCACTTCGCTTCCTGAGACCAGAAAAGGGAGGTGAGGCTCCGCTCCCCACCCCCGAGGGTCCCTGGGGTGCCGCCGGCGGGTGCCCTGCCCCGTCCGAGGGTGCGCACCGCGGCCACAGGGTCTAAAACTGCACGCGCCCCCGGGGCCCGGGGCCCGTCAACCCCGGGTGGGGGGGGACTCGGCACCAGGGAAACACCTTCATGCCTCTAGTCTAGCAATTCCGCTCCCAAGGTGAACGAACGCTTCCTGGGCTTCCAGAAAAGCCGTTCGGAGAATCAACACAATCACCGCGAAGGGGGAAGAAGGGGACTCCCTCAGTGCTGGGGACGACCAGCTTCTCCTGTTCCGTTCCAGTGAACGCAGGGGCCCAAGGACCCGGCCCAGGCCCTGGCCCGGCGACCCCAGCGGGCGCGGTTCCGCCCCACTTTCCCGGTGCTGCTGTTCCCCCCCCCCGCCCCCCGCGGCAGCCGCAGAACGACCCCGCGTGACCTGACCGGTCTCACGGCACTGCCCCCGCCGGCCCCTGGACGGGCGGAGTCCGGGAAGCTCTGAGAACGGCCCCGTCGGGGAGTGGGGCTGCCTGACAGCGGGGCCACAGGACGGGGCAAAGTTCGAGGGGAGTCCGCCCTGTCCATGACCCCCAACCCCTCGGGGGCGGTCCTTGCGAGAATGTGATGAACACTAAGATCCTCTTTTCAGAGAAATGGGAATACGCCGTCACAGAAAGGAAAAAAGTACACCCGACGGCCCCGCTCACCCACGGGCCGGCCGAGGTACACTCGGGGGGCAGCGGGGCTCTGCCCGCTGGGGACGCTCCCACAGGGCCCCTCCCCCCCCCCCCCCGAGGACGCCGGGCTGCCCGCGCTCGTGCAGGGCAGCGGCTGTGCTCGGTGAGTGGGCAGCTCCAACCCGGCCAGTCTGCAGGCCAGTCTGGCGGCGGCGAGTGCACCCGGGAGACGCTGGGGCGGGGCAGGGGCACAGGCTGACCGCCCGCTCTGCATGGGCACCTCGAGGCCCCGCCCCTCCCTGACCCCCAGGCAGGGCCTCATGGGCGGATGCCCTGCGCGGCGGTCACAGAGGAGCCACGGAGTGCCCCACCTGCCGGCTTCCCTTCATGAACAGCATCACGGGAGCTTTCCGTGTCAGGGCGGCGAGCCTGCGGAGAGAACGGCGGCATGAGGCCACTCCGCTGGGCGACCGGACGCCACCCCGGCCCCGCTGGCCGCGCCGGGCGGCACCGCACGAGCAGATGCCCGGGCACTTCCCTGCAGACAGCGGGGCCGGGGCGGCCGCTGAGGGACGCCAGGCGGCTTTTCAAGGCCACAGCCCGCCCTCGGCTGTGGTGTCGGCCGTCCGCTCGCAGCTCCATGGAGACGGCAGCAGCCCGGAGCTGTCCCGGGGGCCTGCCGGGGCTCCCTCACCGCCCCCGTGCGCCCCTCTCCACCCACAGGCCGGGCACTCCCCGAGCCAAGGGCCCCCCCGACTGCCCGAGGAGGGTGGGTGAGCGAATGAGTGCTGAGCTCAGGCATGGCCCCCACCCCCGCCCCGGGGGCCCAACACTCCCACCTGCACTTCAGGTGCCGCACGACCAGGTCGCACTGGCCGTCAGCAACGTCACCACCCGTGCGCCTGCCTGGCGTCTAGACACGCACAGAGGCTGCGCCCAAGGGCCACCCTGTCCGCCGAGGACGGGAGTTGGGTTTGCGCTTGAAGCCCCAGAGGTTCCCGGAGTCACACGACGTGGCCGGACAGCGGGGCAGCGCGACCTCCCGGCCGGGAGCCCCAGAGTTCACACTGGAGGGGCCACGCCGCCGAAGACCCTCCGCTTCCCAAGGCTCCCCACCGACTCGTGCCGATGACAGCCCCCCCCCCGTCTCCCTGCCGGGGGGCCCTTCCGGGTCCCCAAGGTCAGAGCTCTGCCGCGATGGGACGCCCGCAAGCCGCCCGATGCCCTTCCGGAAACGGGCGCGGCAGGTCCCACAGCTCCGGACCCCCTGGCCGGTGCCCTGCCGCGGTCTGCAGAGGCAGACCACACCGGGGCGTCGTGACAGCTGAGCCCGGCTCCGACACGCAGAGGGGACTGAGGCCTGGCCGTCCCGCCGTGGCCGTGACCCCCCACACGTAGTCACCACGGAGACACAAAGCATCTCAGTCCAATCAGGGCCCCGGCTGGCGCGGCCTGCCGGACGGCACACGGCTGAGCACGGCCGGCACACGGCTGAGCACGGCTGGGGTGTGCGAGACTGGTCCCGATCCCAGCAGGAGAGGCGGCACACACCGGCTGTCACAGACGGCTCTGGAACGGGGCAGACTCCTGGACGCTCACCTCTCCTCCAGCTTGGGGGCTTTGGGGCAGACGGAGTCTAGTTCCCCCGAGGCTTCCAGCTCCTGCGACAGACAGAGGCGCGGGTCACGGGGGCTCGCTTCACCAGGGGTTCCCTGGTCACGGCACTGCTGCGCCGAGTCCAGGCACGGCTGTGCCATGCCGTGCCATCGGAACTGCCGCACGTCACACGCTGGTGCACGCGGAGGCTCGAAGGAACGTGCGTGTGGGACCCGCGACAGCACGCACGATACCGCGCTCTAACGGCAGACCCCCTGCCCTGGGTGGAACCCCTGCCCCGGTCAGTCCGACCTTCACGATGTCCAGGCCTCCCACGAGCTCGCCGGACACGTAGAGCTGGGGGTAGGTGGGCCAGTTGGAGAAGGTTTTGAGGCCCTGGCGGACCTCCTCGTCCGAGAAGACGTCGAAGCTGCTGAACTGGATGTTGTGGGTGTTCAGGATCTGCACCATCTGCTTGCTGAAGCCTGCGGGCGGGAGGGAGGGGCGGTGAAGAGCGGACTCCCCCCCCCCCGCAGGTGCCCCCACCGCTCCGCTCTCGGAGGACACGCCACCCGCGGACCCGCTCACCAGCGACCCAGTGAGCAGGGCCGGACGGCACGCAGGGAGAAAACCAACTCCAAGAGCGCCGTATCTAACACCGAACCGCACCCCGTGCCCAGGCGTGGTTTAACTTTGTAATGCACTTCTGAGTTTTGAAGAGTGAGTGAGTGTGTGTGTGTGTACGTGTGTGTGTACACCAGGCACATTTTCTGTCCCAAAAGTCCTGGACAAAAGGCAGAGCCCTCCGGCCCAGCACCGGGACCACCCACCCAGGGGACGCACAGGCAAGCCACGGACGGCCCCGCCCTGCGCTGGTGCACCCCCGGGGGCTGACCCGGACGGCGGGACGCGCCCCACGCTGGTGTTCGGTGAGCCTCGGAGGGGGAGCTGTGCCGCAGAGTCCCCAGCTGCCCCTGACCGGGCCGGAAGCCCACTCCGGTCTGGTTTCTGCTGCCCCCCATGCACCCCCCACCCCGAGCACCGCTCGGCCCTCACTGTCCCTGAGCAGAAGACACGGGCCATGTGATGGCAGCGGTGGCAACGGCCGGTCAGAGACGGGCACGCCGGCACCCTGAGTGTTCGTGCTGCCCAGCCCGCGGCGGTCGGGCGCTGTCAGCGCACCGGGGACGGGTGTTCTCTCTCCTCCGCTGCCGGAGCTGGACGGCTCCTCCTGGAGCTGTCCGCACCCCCAGAGTACGTCAGGGGATCCCCCCTGCAGTGCAGGGGCCCCGTGTCCGTGGGTTCGTTATCCTTCAGGGACACATTCCGGTCTGCACTCGGACCCCACCCTCTCGGGGACGTGCGCACTGGAGACGGAGAGTGTGGGAGTCCGTGCGGGGTGAGTCCGCCAGCACTGCCCGGGAAGAGGCTGTTTCCTCCCGCGAGCTCGGCCTCCAGCGGCCCGCCCCCCACACCCCAGCTCACCCCCAGCACTCTTCTCAGCCAACAGGCCGTCTGGAAGGGAGCCTCCTCTTCCGACTCCGAAACCCCGCACGCCTGACAGCGCCAGCGGTTCTCGTGAATGAAGCCGAACCATAACACCCAGCGCGGGACCATTCCCGGAGCACACCCGCCCCGGCGCCACACGGATGTGTACATGAGTGCCGCTGGACCGGCTGCCAGTCTCCCCGGGCCGTCGTCCCCCAACGACGGGAGACTGCTGCTGTCTGACCGCAGAGGGGACAGGCCCGGCCTCCCCGGCAGCCAGCGCCCCTGACGCAGTGACTGGACAGGTGCTCTCAGCCCCGGCACTGTGGTCACCGTGGCTGCACGACAAGGTCAGAGACGAGTTTCAGGCCGCAGGGCAGAGAGCAGGCAGGGGCAGCCTCCCTCAGAGACCGGGCACCACGCCCCGGACGCCTCCCGCCAGCCTTCCAGCGCCTGGGCAGCAGGCCGCACGGCCGTCCCGGCAGCGTGCGCGTTCGAGCAGAACTGGGAGGTAAAGGAATGATCTGCAATCTTTTCGAGATGGGCCTCACCAGAAAACTTGACTTTTAAACTACACTTTTTCGTGATGTAACGTGCAATTTGCTAAGCATGCAGAGAGGAACTGACCATTAAACTTCTCTGGAAGCTTGGCATTTTCCCAGCAAGCCCCCTGGACACGCAGCGACCCGATCGAGGGCCCGCTCCGAGTCCCGCCCCACCTCCACACAGGGCCGCCCGTGCGGCCGGGCACGTGCTCCCGGAGTCTCGACGCCCCCCAGAGGCAGCCCTGCTCGGGCGTGCAGCACGGTCACGCCGCCCGGGGCCCAGTGGACGGAAAACGCCACGAACCCCGTGCCGGAGGGTCGAGCAGCCGTGAGCCTCACGGACGTCAACGTGACAAAGCGTCCGTGTGGCTCCGAGAACAGGGGCGACGACAAGCCCCAGAAGTGGGTGGGAACCTTTGAAGGACCAGGAGCCCCCGGCTGGCGGAGGGAGGATGAGGGACACAGTCCCTCCCTCGGTGCCAAGAGGCCGCAGGGCAGGCGGCGGGGCCCAGGGCAGACACGGGAGCCCAATCAAGACTCGTCCGAGCCTGGAGGGGGGGGGGGGCAGGGGGGGCTGTCCGCGCACTTTTGGGTACGTGAGGGCTTCTAAGACGCCAGCCGGTGCCCCACCTTCTGGGTCTGCAGTGCGCACTGACTCACGCCACACAAATCTCTGCTGCCCTGGGGCTTCCGGCCCTCCTGGGGGCGCCTGAGCACCGCGCCCGACGCCCTGGACGGCCCCCAAACCCCGCGACCTCTCACCACAGCGCGGCTCCTGCGGCGTCCCCTTCATGAACAGCATGCAGGGGGCGGCGTGGGTCAGCTTCTTCAGGCGGACCTCCAGGTCTTCTCGGGGGCGCTCGCTGCCCCCGGCCGGGAGGGAGCCCACCGAGGAGTGCCGCTGGACCTTCCTGGTCAGCTCCGGGGCGTGCGCGCCGTCTAGCCGGTCGACTTTCTGGGAATTCTGGAGTCAGAGAAGTCACTGAGCACCCGCGGGGCACCCCTCATCGCCCGGACACCCGCCAGGCTCCACAGCACAAAGGGTCAGTGCTGTCACCGGGAACTTCTTAAGATCTGCCCACCAGCTGCCTGCTTCTCGGTTTTAGAAATAGTTAACTGCTCTCTGGTTTGTTTGTTTTTTTTCTTTTTTGGGGACATCGTTGGACGACGCCCACACATGTTCAAACAGCAAATCCCACCGAGGAGCTGGAGCTTTTAGAGCCCGTGGTTCTGGGGTCGACGACGCGCCGACGCCCCGCGGGACTCACTGGGCTGACGGGAAGTGGGAGGACACCCCGCACTCAAACCAGACCCCGGGCCAACGTCCCGCAGAAAGGACTTCCCACCCTGGGAGGGACGAAGCCTCCACAGAGGGGGCATGAGGGTGAGGGGACCCCCAGCCACAGCCAGGCGTGTCCTGCAGCACAGACCAGGGCCGGCCAGCGTCTCGCCGCGCCCAGAGGCAGCACCCCCCCACCCCGCCTTCCAGTCATGGGCCAGCGCTGCTCCCGAGGAGCCCCAGGTCGGGCCGCCGGGCCTCCGTCCCCGTGACTTCGCCAGGGCCCCGGACAAGCAGGCGCGGAGGCTGCGAGGAGAAGGGGCAGGGCCAGGAAGGGTCAGGGGCCAGGGGCCAGGGGCCAGGGGCGAGGGCGAAGGAACCAGCACAGACACCCCGTGGCCCGGGGCAGCAGGTGTTTCGTGCCAGCGGCAGCCTTACCTTGAAGAACAGGAAGGTGGGAACAGAACTAATTTCATATTTTTCAGACACTTCAGGAACGGCTTCGGCCTCCAGCTTTGAGAGAGAGAATTGAAGCTCGATTACAAAGAGGAACGCTTGCCTCGGGCAGCGTATTTTCGGGCTGTAAGACGAACCCCCCGCCCCAAATCTGGGAGGGAGGACGGTCGTCACGGCTGCTGTCGAGTTCTGTTCACACCCACGTTGGTGACATGCTGTGTTGCTGAATATTCACCACATTTTTGCCCTATCTTCCTCCTCTAGAACCTCGGTGCACCGTGCGGTCCGGAAAACGCAGCAGCGCGGCTTCGCAGGTGTCACCCCTCCAGGCAGCCGACGCTTTTATGGCGAGTGGCGCAGGGTCTAGGCCACACCCCCACTCGGACGAGACCCCCGGGCCGGCCCGCCGCCCGGGCTCAGAGGGGTTTACTCTGCCGTGTGCTTCGGCAGACGCCCGGGGGCCCTGGATACAGTTCTCGGTGCGCTCGTGACCTCGCCCATTTCCCACGATGCGCGGCCCCTGCTGCGCTCAAGTCCACAAACCAGCGGCCTCGGCCACGTCACGATCACAGCGCCACCCTCTGCCCACGTGGTTCCTGCCGTGGGCTCTGCTGACTAACTCCAGGGGGCAGTGCCTGGAGACCGGCGGCCGCAGCCCGCAGCCGATCGTGAAGCGAAAAGGAGTATTTCTTCAATCAACTGTGGACGTCTGTGAATCTCACTTCTACCTCCGGCGAGACTGCTGGACGCAAGCAGACGTCCGTGTCTCTGCACCCGGGGAGCGCACGCGGCCTGAGATGACCGCCTGTGTCCAGCGCCTCCCCACCAACGGTGCGCCGTGGGCCCCCGAGACACGGGCTGGAGCGCATCGAGGGACAGTCCCCGCCGTGAGGACACGGGCACCGTGGGCTGGGGGTGTGGGACTTCACAGACCGCGTGTCGGGGAAAAGCCGAGACACCTGGCGTCTTCCCTCCCAGGGCTGTCCGTGTGGGCCAGGCTCCCAGCCCAGGGAAACTCCGCATCCACACTGTAGGAAATGAAAGCCACCGTTCCTTACCATTTTTACTGTTGTGTGAACACAGCTGTCTCCATCTGCCCAGGAAATAGAAACTACTGACAAGGTGCACTGTTTAAAGCTCTTAAGATGCAGACACTCCGTCTCTCCAAGCGGGGAGGGCCCGCCGGCCCCGCCTGGCACCCCCACCCCCGCCCTCCGGGCGCTCTCTCCGTGCTGTCACGCTTCCTTCCCCGGAACACCCTCGAAACCGTGTTTTCAGCCACGTTCACGTGAAGTGCACGCATGTGACAAAGCTGTGCCCACCGCAAGCCCACGTCAGCCGTCAGACAGCGGGGGCAGGAACGGCCAGCAGACCAGGCCCTGGGGACGGCTCTCGGCTCGGGCTCCGAGGCCATGCGTCCGCGCCGCCTGCCCTCTCCCACGGCCCACAGTCACGCTGGGGAGGAGCGGCCGGGCCCACGAGGCAGGTCCCGTCTCCAGTCTTCCATCCCGGGACTGACGGCTACCGAGGGCCCCACGCACTGGGCGCCGGGCTGGGCTGGGCTCACTGCAGGGCCCCGCCTCTGGGGCCGCTGGACCCCAACAGAGAAGTAAAACAAACGCAAAAGGGGCGCCGTGGACGGAAAAGGAGGTGGCGTGGCCTTGGCTCGGAAGGAGGTGGGCGGCGCCCTCGCTCCTGACACCAGAGACCCGCTCGCCTCAGAGCTGGCCTCTCCCGCACTGCTGCTGCTCTGGGAGAGGGGGCAGGGGGGCAGGGCCCCCAGCACGGGAGGCAGGGCGACCTGCACAAAGGAAAGCGGCTTCAAAGGGGTGGGGCGTAGGTTCCTGCCCCGAGGACCCCCCAAGGCATCCCCTGACGGACAGACACCCCAAGACACCGCCAGCACAGACTCAGGTCAGAGACCAAAAGAAAGGCCGGGGGGCACACGGGGCAAATCCACACGAAATGGATGTGACTCAAATCATCACGTGGTACACCGTAAGTACCCACAATTTTTATTTGTAACATAAAATAAAATGTAAAATTTCAAAGGTTGCCACTGCTATAAAAAGTGCATTTGATCTCAACCTCGAACCCGACGAGGGGAACCCGACCAGGCCACGACCCAAAACGCCTCGGCGCCTGCCTCCCCCCATGGCCCCCCACCCCCGCACAGCCGCTGGAAAGGCCCCGCCCACCGGGCAGCGACTGAACGCCCAGCGTGTGTTCACTTCCGCCAGCGCCACCAGCCGCCGGCACGTGACCCGAAGGGCAGAGGCACTGGACACTGCATGTAACGTCGTTCCGAGTACAAGCAAGGCTTCCAGCAGACTCGGCCGTATAAACAACTCGAGTGTCACAGCCCCTGGCGGTGTGAGCACCCCCGGATCCGATGAGACGTGGCAGGCGGAGCGGGCGGGTGGCCCGGCCCTGGCCGGCCCCAGGAGGGCCGGCCCGCGCGCCCACCACCGCGGTGCCATGGGGACGCGGGGGCACCAGCCTCAGTCCTGGGAGAGCCCCCCCTGCAGCAGCCGAGTCCGACGAGCACGGACCCCCGGACCAGAGCTGCGAGCCGACTTCCCTCGGGGCACTGTCTCCCCATTCTCTCTGCAGTGAAAACTGCGGGTGGCCACCACCTGTTCCGCCGAACTACGGGAAACACCGAGGTTAAGACCCCTACCTGACGACTGCTTAAGTCTCGGTCCCCGAGCGGACTGGCCTCTACTTGCCACTCAGAAGTGCCGACCTGCTGCGGTCCCTAAGAAACAATCACGCGAGAAGACTCGGAGGTGGCAGAGCCGCAGCCTCACCCGAAGTTCCAGAAAGCTCTGCCTCGGAAACGCCGGCCGCTGTAACACGAACCGCCTGCCCCGGCACCGGGACACGGCAACTGAGCTGGCGAACGCGGCCCTTCCCGGTGGCTCCCGGTGCTTCGGCCACCGCGGCCTTGCCAACAGCCTCTGCCCTCCGGCGCCGGCGGAGGGAAGCCCCGCCCCAGAGCGGGGCGCAGGGAGCAGCCGCGCCCGCAGACCGCACCTGGCCCGCCGCCCCGGCCTGCCGACACGCTCCAGCGCCCGGACGGCGCGAGGCCTGGCTGCCCAGCGCGGCGTGGAAGTGAGAAGTAACTCTATCGTCCCGTTAAATAAGTCATCCCGGTGGCAGCGAGGAGCACTGTGTCACCTACACCGGTAACACTACACACAGGAGAGCAGGCTCGCGACAATTACCGTCACCTTGATTAATCGTATGATTGAAACGTTTAATCATTCATGTCCCTTGTAGTCCTTATCTCCTATCGCTGGCCGGCCATGCAGCTTTAATGTTCCCTCCATTATTCATGCGGGACCTTTCAGGGCCGCGCTCTAAGGCTACGTCACACGTTTCCCGGGAATTTCAGCCGAGCCCTCGGACTTGGAGAAGCTCGCCGCCGCGGTCGCCCCGGAGTCTATGCCGGCCGGCCGGCCACTCAGGGCGCCAGGGCTGCCGGAGGGCGGAGGGGCGGCGGCCTTCCCAGCGCCGGTCTCGGCTTTGGTTTCTGAGCCACCGACGGCAAGGCCTCCTCCGCGCAGCTCCCACCCGCGCAGCTCCCACACCGCGGCGTCTGAGGGCCACTCCCTCCCGATCGCTCCGCTGCCCGAGCCCTGCCCGCGCGTTCAGTCCACGCGCAAAGCGGCGAGTGAACACAGCCGGTGCCGCTTTGACCTCCACACGTGGGTATATCCGCCAACGTGTCTGAGAAAGACACGTTTTTTGTTTTAAATCCATTTCTGAGGCTCTCGCCTCCTCCTCCGGCCTGGCCGCCCACACCCGCACGCCGTCCGAGTGACGACACGGACGTGCTGGGCCCTTCCCGCGGCTCCCCACCCGGGAGACCCCACGGCACACGGCACGCCCAGGCAGCGCAGGCGCAGACGGCGAGAGCACCCGGCCGGCTCGCCCCTCCTCCGCTGGCCTCGCGCCAGCCTCGCCCGAAGGCTCGCCACGCCCCAGGCCGCGGCCTGGCCCTCCGCCCAGGTTCCAGGCGCACGGGCCACACTTCCTTCACTCACTCTCCCTTCCCGCCCAGCCTTTCTCGGCTGGTCTTTTCCGACCCGAACACCGGGGTGGCCCGCAGCGCATGGCCTAGTCTGCCCTGCCCACAAGCGGCCCCGCCCAGCCCCGTGCACACGTGCTGAGTGCCGAGCGCTGCGCTGCCGGGTGCTGCCCAGACGCAGACGCCTGTGAGCTGTTTGAGACGGGTCTTCTGCAAAAGCACAGGCCCCCACCCCAACGGCGAGAGCCCCGCTCCCACACGGCCCCCCAGGAACCCCTGCGGGCCCGCGGCTCGGGGTGAAGTACCTTCAGGAAGGAGACCTGCGGGTGCTCCCTGGCCAGCTCCACCATCACGCCGTTCATCTGAGCGCACTGCGGGGCCCACGGCGCCCAGAAGTGGACCACGACCAGGGACCTGCGGAGAGAGCAAGGGCGGCTGTAAGAGTGGCGTCTCTTCACAAGCAGGTGACACTGCCACGGTCGGTCCCCACAGACACCGTCGTGACAGCCGCTTGAGCCCTCTCCGTCCCGCCAGAGTGCCGCGGTGCGAGCATTGCGAGTGGGACGCACACTGAGACGCCAGGACCTGCGCGGCCTCAGAGCCCCTCCAGGGGAGTGTGCGCGTCACCGAGGGCCCTCGCGCCGACTCCGGGCTCACGTGGGCTGGTCCTGATGCTCACCGCCCCCGCGACGGACAGTCCCGCAAACCACGGTCTCCGGACCCCCAGCAAAGGCGGGGCGCGGGTTCGCGCACCGCGGGCACAGCGCTGGTGCGAGGTGGCTGCAGAGGCACGATCACCCGCGCTGCTAGAGTCTGCCTCTCCACCGCGTCGGGTGACAAAGGAGCACAATCATTACCATGGGAACGGCATATAATGCTGAGAAGGAAAGCACGCAAGCAGAAGGCCTCCAGAAAAACAACTGCTTCTTACAAAGACACGCTTTTTACATTACGCTACAAAAGGTTTTTTAAAAATAGCATGGACAGAATAGTGGATTAATAAACTATTGGTGGAATTCTTACATAAAATGATCTTGACAGACACATCTGTAAGTTTACCCTCATGCCCACTGAAAAGCTAGTTTTAAAGAGCTGTACTCCGGGAAGCTGAGCCCCGGCCAGCGTGGCTCAGGGGATTGAGCCCTGGCCTGTGACTGCAAAGGTCACAGGTTCGGTTCCCGGCCAGGTCCCCAGGTGGGGGCGGGGCCACCGAACGACCCATGTATCCCTCACACACGTCCACTGATGTTTCTCTCTCTCTCTTTCTCCCTCCCCTCCTAAAAGTAAATAAGTAAACCTTAAAAAAAAGAACTCTAAGTTCAAATATAGTCCCCCCCCCGCCCCAAACAACGGTCTGGGGAGTGAGGAAGAAAACGCGGCCTGAGCCCACTGCGTGGACAGAGGAACCGAGGCAGGTGGCACAGAAGGAAGGTGACACGGGAACACAGCGCGAGTGGGGCAGGAGCCACCACCCGGCATCCCAGCGCGGGAGCAGGGGGGGCTCTGGGGCTCAGAGGCGGGGCGCGGGGGCTGACCACCGGGGAGGCACAGGGTGGCGCTGACTGAGTCTCGGGCTCAGTGACAGAGGGCTAGCAGTGGCACCAGACGCAACCCCGCGCGGAAGGCGCCGGCCGAGAGGACAGGGAGCCCAACAGGCGGTTCCGGAATCTGCCGGTCTGGGAGTCAAGACACAGTCGGCCTCCACGCCGCGCTCAACCGCATGGCGGGGTGAGGCCAGCGCCGCTGGGGCTTCTCCGTAGGCAGGACAGGGGATGGAGGAAAGGGGACCAGGGAGTGGACCAGAGGCACGGCTTGGAGAGCGGGCCTCGCCGAAGTGCAGGAGGAAGGCGGGGGCACCAGCCACTGCAGCAGGGGAGGACCCCCGGTGATGGGGTGCGCCGCCCCTGCGGGCGCAGGGCGCACTGCGGTGGGTGGGGCCAGACTGAAGAGGGCCGGGAACCTGCTCTCCGTGCTGTCTGGCTGCGCACGGCGAGCACCAAGCAGAGGCAAGGACAGGCTCAAGGGCTGGGGGTTTCAGTGCAAGGAAATCGGACAGGTTAGTCTGCCAGCGGACCTGCAAAGGGACTGGGGGAGGCTGAGGAAGGCAGGGCGGCGGGGCGAGCGAGGACTCTCAGGCGGTAGGTAGCAGAGGGAGGTGCTCTCCCCTCTGCACCTGAAGCAAAGGGGCCACCACGGGCACAGGTAAATGGACAGGAGCTGGGGGAGGGACAAGTGGAAGGACAGCTCAGGAGATGCTTCTGGAAGTCCTGTTTTCCCAGGTGGGAAGCAAGGTCAAGGCTGAAAACAGGGAAACGGCGGACGGGGTAGAGACGCAGAGACTGGGCTGGTGCTGAGGGGAGGGCTCCCAGGGGCGGCCGAGCGGGTCGGGGCGGAAAATGGGAGACCCTGAAGGAAGACCCACTTGAGGCGGGAAGGCCAGTCTGTGGGGCCCCGTCCCTGCGTCCCCATTTGCTCCAGCAGAACCGGGTGGCGGCGGCAGAAAGCGGGGAGGGGGCCTGGGGTCGGGGGCCTGGGCCGGAGGCCGCCTCCAGCACTGCCTCCACCTGCCGCTGCCTGGGAGCCGGCCTCCGAGGCCCGGCGGCTGGGACGCAGGCCGGGGACGGCTGCCCGGCCCTCCCAGTCCCACCACGCGAGCCTCCCCGCCCACTCCAGCCGCTGGCACAGGGCCTCTGCCCAGGGCATGAGGGGCCGAGACCGAAGGCGAGGTGAGACGGAGGAGAGCCCCCACAGAACCCGTGCAAGAACGGCCACAGCAGGCCTGGACGTGAAGGCCACGTCCAGACGCCCGCCAACTGGAGGACCCGCGGTCCACTCACACGGAGGATGCTACTCGGCCATAAAGCAGCAGCGTGGAGATGAGCTACAGCAGGGAGGAATCTCAGACACACAGAACAAAACCAGACAGACAGACACAGAGGACCCACAGCTGCGAGACCCCCTCCCATCAAGTCCAGGGGCAGGACGCCCGCACCTGCAGCTCAGCCAGCAGGTCAGTGGGAGGGCCGCTGGGGGGGGGGGGGCGCTGCGGGCTCCCTGGGCTCTCTGTCCGGCTCTCGGCCAAGGTCATGCATGTGTGTGCAACTGTCGGAGTTCACCACACCTAATAATTAGGACCTGTGCCTTTTCTTATAGCAAGTTCCTGCCCCAGCCTTTTACCAGCTGGAGAAAGGTGTTTGAGATCGTAATAGCTAATGAGACAAAGGACAGAGTGAAACAGCCTGCTGGTACCTTCGGAAAATCTTACACACTTTCAAGTGTCCATCCTAGAAACGTAGTTAAAGAGACAAAAGTTTATGTGTATGAATACTCCCCCATTACTTTACAAAGCAAAGAAATGTAAAAACATACAGTACATCAATACAGTTTCTAAGAAACTCGATAAAAATATTGTAAAGCCACTAAAATCACATGTCAAAGACCTTTTAAGGACATGGGATATGATTACATTTTTTGAAAAACAAAATAGGTTACCAAACTTTTGACAGTATGAACTGGCAAGTAAAAAAGGAAATGAAAAACGCACACAGCTTAAATTCTATTACTAGGACCATGGCCTGAAAGAGAACTTAACTTCTCCTAACTTCCCCGTCTGCGAAACAGCAGCAACCAACACCCTGGGATGTCGGGAAGAGCCAACAAAAACAGAAAAGCACTCTGACAACATCAAAGAATGACAGTGATGTTCACTGTGACTTTCTGTCATCCACAATATTCTCATACTTAGATGCTCAATGCCCACTGTCCAATTAAGTACGCGACACCTAACGTCATCAGGATGCACAGCTCAAAGGGACACGGAGCTGTCACCCCCTCCTGGACAGGAAGTCGCAGCGTCCTCGCCACCTTCACGGAGCGCCGCCCGCAGAGCGCACCGGGCAGGGAGGCCCTGCAGAGGAGCAGGTCCGGGGCCTGAGTGCTGTGTTGAAACCGTCAGTGCCAGGCAAGTGGCTGCCGCTCCGTCAGGGCAGGGGCTCTGCTCCCAGTCCCTCCTCCGCAGGCACCGCCGGCGGCCACCATCAAACGCTGCCGTGCCGAACACTTCACAGACGGGCAGAACCTTAATCGCGCAGCAAGTGGCTGTTACTACCCCCACTGGAGAGACCAGCTGAGGTTTCCACAACATGTAAACGCCATGCATGTGATTAGATAATTTAAGCAAAAAAATACGCAATTCACATGAAACGTCCAAAGTGAAGAGATCTGGGAAGTGGGCTTTAAATGATTGCACTAATGAATGCTACTTAATATTCTCAAATGCTTCCACTTGCACGAAAAGCTGCAGAGACTTGTGCCTTCCCAGGGGCCAGGCACCGTGTCCCACAAGCCCGTGGGCACCGTGGCCGTGGGAGAGGTGCAGTGTTCTGAGTCACTTCGGGCACAGACCAGTGTCAAGAATGCATCTAAGTGGTAAGCACTTGTGTGCTTAAAAAAAAAAAAAAAAACAGAAACAAAAATGTGTAACAAAAAGCAAAACCGTGCTGCTGACGGTAAGTCCCCTGACGGGGTGGGGGCAGGTCCTCACCAGCCTGCCCCCCTCAAGGGACCAGCTGGGACTCTCACTGTGCTGTCACTGCGCGGCTTTAAGGCTGGTGGTGGGATGGCCCCGACCCCACCTTTCATCAGTAAGAAAACGTCGCTCTCTTTCCTTTTTCAAAAACCATTTCCCCGGTAACCCTAAAATATGCCAGAAGGGCTGTGGTGGCTAACACCTTTAACTTCATCACCTCCACCAAGCTCGGTGGACTCCAAGTCAGACAGGAAATTTCACCCGCCCGCGCCAGCAAGCGCAGTGACCGCCCACCCCCTCTGTCACCTGCAAGGTCCCTGCGGCTGCTCTGCTGTGTGTCTGCAAAACGCCGCTGCACTTGGGCCAGTCGCCCGCACGTCTTGCCGGTGAGCACCACGCAGCCACGGCCACTGTAAGGGCCGACGCCGAGGGCTCCCGCGCCGGGCAAGGTGTGTTACGGGCATCGTCCCCCTGAACCCCCCAGCCCCGAGGTGGACACTGCTCCGACCCACCTCGCGGCCAGGGAAACTGAGGCCCGGATGTGGACTTGCCCAGGGATCACCCGGCTAGTCCGCGGCACAGCTGGGTACGGCTCCCAGGCCCCCGACGCCGGACCTCCCCCCCAGGTCACCCACCGGTCTCCCCGCAGAGGACACTGCCCAGTCCCGGGACGGGAGACCCTACAAACCCCACCAAGCCAGGTGCGGCGGTCACCACCGAGCCCGGGCTTGTGGGCACTCGGGCAGCCCGGGTCCCTCTGCGTCCCTACGCGGTCCCCAGGCAACCCTGTAGGTGTCCTTCCTACGGCGACAAGCACGTGCCCCCGCGGCAAAGACCCCAGCAGGCATCCCTTCCCCGAGGCCGGCGACGCGGGGGACGGGGGTCTCCACGCCCCTCTCAGCCCCAGGCTCGGCCACCGCGCCGCCGCGCCCGGGGTGCGGGGCCCGGCGGGAGGGTGGGGGGCTGGGCCTGGGAGCGCCCGGCGGGTCGCGGTCGCGGTCGGGCTCGGGGCTGGGGTCTAGCCGCGCTTTTCCGCCAGCGCCAGGAGCCAGGGCCCGGAGGCTGTGCCCCCCGCCGCCGCCCACGAGGCCGCGGCCGCCGCCGCAGCGCCCCTCACTCCCGCCTCCCCGCTCACTTGGCTCTGAGGCGCAGCAGCTCCTCAAACTGCGGGGCTGAGCCGACCTCCAGCACCTCCACCGCCGCCATGCTGCCGCCACCAGACAGGAGCAATCGAGCGCAGGCGGGGCGGGGCCAACGGCGGCTGCGCGAGAGAGCCCCGCCCCCTGCCCGGGTCTGCGCAGGCGCCAACCGAGAACGGTCTTCTCCCCCACCCCCAGGGGCGGGGTTTCCGGTCAAGTTAGTCTCCTGCACCTCCGGGTCCTGGCGTTCTGTCCGCCGGGCTCCGCACCCTCCCTGCGGCTCCCGCAGCGGCTGGGACACGGTGTGCCTGTGATGGGACAGGGTGTGCGTGTGACCGGAGTGTCAGTGAAGGCAGCGAGTACATGCTTGTGCACAACGAGCCGAAACCTTAAAGCGAAATGACACCAAGGCGGGGTGGAGCGAGAGGTCAGGGACCGGGAGGGTGCGCGTCTCGAACCTCAACACTAACTGGGGCCTGCGGGACCCCAGCCAGCGCCACCGCGTGTCCGGCCACCTGCGCCGGCGGTGCCACCTCTGAGCGCAGGCCCACCTCCCCGCTCACTTGGACTTCACCGTGACCTCAGAGCAGCAGGGCCTGGCCCGGGGCCTTTCCTTGCTCCCGTGGCACGCCCTGATGGTGACTCTCCCGCCTGTTCGGTCCTGTCCCCCTCTTCTCACGCCCCCCACCCTCTCTCAGACCCAGTCCTCTGGTCCATGTCCCGAGTGTCCGCCTTCACCAGGGGGCCACTCCAGGCAAGCCGCTCTGATCTGCTTTGGGGAGAGGGCGACTCCTGTCGGGGGTCCTCAAACCACATGGGCCTCCCCCGCAAAGGGCCCTCCCCCTGTAGTTTCCATCTCACTGAAGCCACGCTCCCATCCTAGCGCGACCTGCCTCGCGATCAGGGCACCTGTGCCGCTTCCACCACATGTCTCTGTACCTACTACGTGCTTGTCTCCTCCAGCCCAGTTCTCAAGGGCAGGAACCGTGCCTGTCCAGGGGGCCTGCAAAAGAGCCAGGTGCTCGCTTGCACGCTCACTACGTGCCCCCAGTGAAGCAGCGGGCTCGTGGAGTTTGAAAGACTTAGTACAAAAAAAGGAATATATCTCATCAATAACGTTTACATTGATTGCATGCTGAAATGATAACATTTTGGGTTTTGTGAAATTATCATTAAGTTTACATCGCTTTACCTTCTTCATGAGGTTACTAGAAAATTGTAAGTCCCGCAGGGGACTCACTTGCATGCAGCTCACCTTGTGTTTTATCTTGGCTGCAGTGCGACAGTGACAGAAAGTGGCCTTAGGGGCTGTGACCTGTGTGCCTCCCCCTGAGAAATATATGTTACTGGAAACGGTGAATTAGAGCGTTTAAGACAGAACTAGAGGATGATGGGAAACTGTTTTGTATCCTGACCGTGGTGGTAGGTACACAGACCTAGACGCATGACGAAATGACGTGGAACAAAGCACACACACACATGTGCACCAGGGAGACGAGGGAGGTCTGGGAAAGGTGGGCGGCGAGTCCGAGTGTCAGCATCCTGGTGGTGGAACCCACTACAGTTTGCAAGATGTGATCTTCGGAGGTGTACACAACATCTCCGTGTACCACTTCTTAAGACCTGCATGTGACTCTACAACTAGTTTAAAGTGAAAAGGGTACTTTAAAAAAAAAAAAAATAACCTAGAGATTACCATGAAAAAAATGCAATGGAGGGGCACCGTGTTGCAACAACACCCTTTTGCCACAGAACTACATGGGAACAAAATGCGTGAGTGTGCACACAGCTGCATGCAGGGCTTGAGAGGGCTCTGACAAGCGTGTGCCCCGCGGTGCTGGAGAGCTCACCCCCGGCTTGTGAAAATAAGGGGCTTTCAAGAGGAAGACCTTCACTTTTTAGGTCACACACTTCTTCCTGTCATTTGCACTTTTTCAAAGAGTAGGGACAGGCTTTGTGGTTTTTAAACTAGTGAAACTGTAGTGCACCGGGGCAATGTGCTAAAGGGCTCTTTCAAAACATGAAGCAGTGGCCACCTCTGTAACGTGGCTGGTGTAGAACCCCGAGTTTTCCTTTACAAGGAATTTGCTGGAAGCAGCGCGTGCCCCAGCCCCAGAGCAGGCGTCCTCCCCAGCAGGCTGGGAAGGCCCAGGAGAAGCCTTCCAGTCCTGCCTCCTGCCTCCTGCGCTGGTCACCGCGGTACCCACAGGCCTGGCGTCCGCAGGTGACCTCTGAGCTGTAACGTGCCCTGACTTAGGCAACAGACGCAGGCCAGGCCGCTCTGAGGGGGCCGTCACATCCGAGATACAGGTGTGTCGGGCGCACATGGGTGTGCAGAGCGGCTCCCACACCCTTGCATGCCTGTGTCTGCATTCGCCATCACGGCTTCTGCCCGCCAACGTGTAAAAACACCTGGGAACACGGCGGGGAACCACAGCGGGGAAGGCCCTGTGCCAGGACTCACCCTGGAGCCTTCCCTGCGGCTGGAAGCTCTTCTCCGGACCTCACCCCACCCGGCTCGCTGTGGACGCCCCGGAGAGGGAGCCCGGTGCGCCCAGTCTGGGCCCGGAAGGAAAACCTTGTCATCAGCGGGCTGCACCGGTTTGGCCGGTTCAAGGATCTTCTGGGCTCAGCTTCCCCTCACCGCCCTGCTGCTGCTGGAAAGCTCAGCACCACGGCCAGGCAAGACACTGGGGCTGCCCTGGGCCTTGTCTCCAACGTGGGTTCATCGAATCTGCCCGTTAGCGTCTTCAGGCCACATCCCGTTCCCTCCCTGGGGCCAGGGCGCAGAGGGGCCCTTCCTTCATCTGAGTGCCCTTGGCCGGGGCTGCTCCCGGGCTCCCAGAGCCTCACACGGTCAGGGACCGGGAACAGCTTTCCCAGACAGCAGCGCAGCCCAGGAGTCTCCCCAGGGTGCGGTGTGGCACTCAGCGTGGGGTGGGGGTGGTGTTGCTGGGGCTCTTTCTCTGGGTCCTCGGTGCCGAAGCTCCAGACGGGGTTGCGGGGCCTCCCGGGCAGCAAAGGGGGGCCGTCCATGCCTGTGAACTGCCCCCTTTTAAAGAGGTGCGTCCGTGTGGTGGATTATTCTTCGTGGTCAGGACACCGAACACCGCGCCCCTACAAGGCAGGGGAATATCGGAGCGGAGCCACGCCCTCCGAGGGAGCGCCGCTCCGTCACGCGGCCAGGCGGGTGTCAGTGCGCGCAGGCGCAGCGCTGAGCTCTAGGTAGAGGCACCGTAACCGGAGCGCAGAGGAGTGGCAGTTAGCTAGGAGGGGCGCTTGGCACAGGATCCCCAGCAGGCGGGGTCCTCGTGAACCCCGCCCCGGGGGCTGAGAGACTCAGGGGCCCCGGAGGGAAGGACGCACGTTGAATGGGCAGAGCAGGGCCCGGGAAGGTGTTGTTGTTCAGGCAAAGGGGCCACAGTCTCCTTCCTTTGAAGAGAGCCCCTTAAATTCCAACTACCCTGCCCCCGAAGGCCAGTTGAGAACAGTCCCAACTGGAGGGAATTAATTTCCTTAGGAATTTCCCTCTTAGAAGATTAGTGGGGCCCCCCTGCCGAGAAACAGTAAAACTGTAAGTACAGGAGATTTGCACCTGAAGGATACATATTTCAATTTCTGCTCTGGAGCTGCGATGACGTCTCTGGGACGACTATAAAAAGCATAAAGGAGCCCCCACAGGGCTGCTGGGAACCTGCTCACGGAGCACCCTAGGAGGGGTCTGCACCCCACTGGGACCCCAGGAGCTCTCCACCCCCCTCCCCATGCTGTCTGTCCACCAAGGTGGCTGGGGGCCCGGGGCTGTGGCCAGGGGCGCTGCGATCACTTCGGGTGCCTGGCTGAGAAGGGAGCCCCGATAGGTTGATCAAAACCTGGAGCATTATCCCTGGACTAGACCCTCAAAGCCCACTCCCGAGCCCCAGCCCCGCCACCCACCCAGGGACCTCCCTCATGGCCCCGCCTGGGTGCAGAATGCACCCGCCAAGGGTCAGGCAGGCTGTGCCCTGTGCTCAGGGGCCCCCAGCAAAGTCCCCCCGCTGCCCCTCAGCGTGGGGGCTCCAAGACGGGCCTTGGGAAGGCCAGGTCCCAAGCTACGCCGAAACACGCTGGACACTGGATCCGGCCAACCGTCCGGTTCTTTTCCTCCTTGGCCCAAGGGCCAGCCTGGCGACGGGGACGCTGCAACTGTCACCCTGAAAGCCAAGGACCAGTCCAGGGTAGGGACGTGGGAAGGGCTGTGAGAGTTCCTCTGTCCACCCTTAGGAGCCGGGAACTTGACCTTGGCACAAGTCAGCCAGTGTTCCGGGCCATCTTCCTAGCCAGGAACTGCTTTTATTGGAAGGGCTCTGTGTATACGCCGGCTATAAAGGTTGTTTATGCTGTCATAGCTAGATTTTTATAGGTTGTATTTTTGCTGCACTTGCTTGAAACATAATTATTTTCAAAGAAAAGAAGAATTACATATCCGGTGAACTAAATAAAACTCACGTTTATTAGGGACCCCTGGCAGCTCCTCAGGCATGAAAAAAGATCTCGACACAGGAACGGACAATTTATGTGCGAGGTTGTTTGTAAAACAGATTTCCAGGCATGCCTCATCTGGGCTCCGCCAGGAAACATACATTCCATTTCTTGTCGGAGGCGTGCTGTCGATGCTTTCACGGGAATCCGGGTTCCTGGAAGAAGGTGAACCCACCTGGACGAGCAGGTGCTCGCTGTGCTAATTAATCTAGGGTCGGGCGGGATGTCTGGGGGTTGTGTGTGGGAAGCGGGGCCAGTTGTGAGCGCATCCCGTGAGAAATACATGTGTAAGAAATGTAGTTCACAGACCTTACTTCCGTGGCTGCCATCTCCAACAACTCTGGAGACGAAATAACTTTTAAACGTGTCTCTAACTGTTTACAGTTCACCAGGAACGGGCTCATCCGGGGAGCGACTGCCCACGCGCTTTCCCTCCCCACGCACGCTCCGGCTTCCTGTCCCACGCCCGCCAGGCGGCGGCAGGTGCCGGCTGCAGCGCGCGCTTCCAGGCTGCGGGTGGCGCCAGCCGCCTCTCCAGAGCGGAGGGCGCGTCCTCCGTTGAGTGCTTTCTTTATGCCACCTGGAGAGGCCGGGACTCAGAACTTGCACAGACGGTGCTGAGTCCGCAGGTGCTCTGAGCCGCCAGCAGAGGCAAACACCCTTCCCCCAGGCGCAGGCCCAGCTCCCCTCCGCCCGCCCTTCTCCCTGCGGGGGGCGGGCCGGGGAGAGGAGATCCCCAGACTCTCCAGTCGCGGCTGTGCCTGTGAACCAGCGGGCCGGGAAGGGGCGGGGACAAGCGGGAGGGACTCTGCGCCTGGTCACCTGCACACACTTTGCCACGTGCATCCTTGTTGACCCCAGGGCGGTTCCCGGCGGGGTCACCCCAGGTGCAGACTGGGGACACGCGGTGTCTGTTTGTATGCAGCTGCGTGGTGCTGAGTGGATCGCTTTACGCGAACACGCCGCGGTGTGCGCGCCCGCGTGTGTCTGAGCACGTATTCTCCGAGTCCACTGGAGTTCATTGTCTGCTCTCCTTTCCGGTTCTTGCAGCTGGAGGAACGAAGGGCCAGGCGCGCTGGCCGCTGTGCCCCAGACAGGAGCGCTGGTCGAGCCCGAAGTAACTCTGAAGGCAGCTAACGAACGAGTTGTGTCCAGGCGCGGCGGCCCTGCTCAGCGAGGAACCTGCCCGCAGTGGGCGCGTGCGCCCTGCGCCCTGTGAGCCACGCCCCGTCTGCTGCCAGTACGCTCTCCCACCGGCTGCTTTCCCCCGGAGGCATCACTCTCGGAGTGGCTGTCCGGCGGGTCCAGCGGGCACCACGAACAGAGCTGGGCCTCCCAGCCTGCAGAAGGGACTCGGGGCGCAAAGGCCTGGGACAGGAGAACGCAGGCACTCGCGCCCCTGAAAGACACAGCTCCATGACCACCGTGGGGTTCTAGGGTCCCAGCCACGCCGAGGGCAGAGCCGCCCCCTGGGCCTCTCTCCTGTGGCACACACCATCCCAACCCGGCCGGCGAATCGGCCTAACCAGTAAACTGGCGACCACAAACCTCACGCTGGTGGCACTGCCTCAAAAGTGCCGCCCCTGCAAGGCCCTGCTCCCCTTCCTCTCCATCCTCTGACCTGACGGAGACCGTGACCTTCCTGCGGGGGCGGGGCAAAGGAACCCCCGCAGTCAGCAGTGAGGCCCGTGCCCAGGGGTCAGCAGCTGCTGGCAGCGAGGCTCCGGGCTCAGGGACGCTCAGAAAGGCGGGGACAATCAGATACTCCTGAATGGTGTCACGGCTTTGGATTTGCTTCAGATCCCGAAAGGATTCCCAATCCAGAGGGTCTCCCAACCGTCCCCCGCCCCCCCACCAGGCTCGGAGGGCTGGGAAGACTGGGACCCGGTTCCTGTGGGTTGGTTGCGGACTCCACAATTCTTCCCCTGGGACCAAACCGGAAAGGGAAGGAAGAACGTGAACCAGGGATTTCAAGTGGTGCAGAGGCCCTGGCACCCGCGGGTGAACGAACGTGAAATAGGTGGGCAGTCCTTCGCGTTCTCCCGGCAAAGTCGCTCGTGTCCAGACCCCCGTGGCTGTGACCACTCTCCAGACACAGCGAGCACTTGCTGGCGACCCCATTAGTGCCCAAGTTCAGGTCAGTGTCTGCTACCCACATGTCCCTGTGAAGTGCAGATGCTTCAACCAGGAGAAATGTCTCGCTCAGGAATTTTGACGCCAACGTTACCTCCAGACTCTCCAGTGTGACGTACTTGCTTTTTCAGTTCGTGTCCGAACTAAGAAACGCACAAGAGGAGAGAGAATGGGAAGTCTCCTTCCTCCGAAAAGGGACAGGTGTGCAGGACCCTAAAACAGGTGGCCCTGGGTCCTTGGATCTAAGGGACAGAGAGGGCTCAGCCACGTCTGGCCAGTCTGCAGACGGGACAGGCCAGCTCTGCCAGGTGCTGGCCGCCGGCTGCCGGATGCAGCTGCCCCAGTGGCTGGGTGGGACCGAGCAAGGAGCTTGCTGGGGTCCAGGGCTGAGGCCCTCACACCCTCTGCCCCTCCCCACGGGAAGGCCCTTGTGGTCTTGTCTTCTGAAGCACTGGGCCTCACTCCAGTTGTCCCAAGCTGTCCGGCCCAGACTGGGGAGGACCAGGGGCGATGTTCTCACCCACGGCGAAGAAGCTTATTGCCTGGTCCCCATGCATTCGCCATCACTGTCACCGCTGGACCCCACTTTGGGAGGCCCTTGTCAGCGGAGCCCAGGCCGCCCGCTCGCTCTCCCCTTGAATCAGGTTATTACATGAGTCCCTACCCAGAACTGAGTTATTCTTAGCCACAAATGTATTGCCCCTACAGAAATATGGTCCTTTTATGGTGGGGCATGAATATTCAAGAAGAGCGTTCTAGAACACCTGGTCACCGCCACGGCAGGCTCAGGCCGGGTTCCAGTCGGTCTCCAGACCCACTCCTGCCTGTAAACGAAACGTCCCATTTTGCAGAGCGACCATAAAAGCCTGTAACACTATTTAGCAGTTGGCGGGAGCATGCCTCTTGTTTACCGGGAGAGGTGATGGGTGACTCTGTGTGTCTTTGCTTTTGTTTTATACCTTCAAATAGTCAGAAAATATTGCCTTCACTAGCAATCAATTTATTTTGATTGATAAAAAGGGGTTCATAAAACCCCCTTAGAAATAAAAACCAGGTGAGCCGTGATATATCTCCCGTGGTGCCTTCTTCAGGCGGCGCATAAAGAAGGCTGTTTACCTCTTCCCGAGAAGTCTCCCCCTGCTTCCTCCACCTGGCGAGTCATTTATAATCCTTATTATTGCCAAGCCCCGCACTCATGCGACATCCGTCATATTTCCACGTGCTGGGGGTTTCTCCGTACTACGGCGTGAGAGCCGAGAGGCAAAACACCCCGTAATTTATAGGAATCTATAATTTACAAGAAAGCGCATGCCAAAGTGGATTGTCAGGCATACGCCGTGTGACTTCACCCACTTGCAAATAAAAGAATTTTAGGATGAAATATAAAACATGCTCAAATTTCATCTCTTTTTGAAACACCGCACAGCATAGAACGTGTGCTTTGTGTGACCGTTAGCAAGTGCCACCAAGAGATAGAGACAGCCGAAGCAGGGGCGGGTTCAGAGGAAGGACAAGGAACACTTCTGGTCAGCCCTAAAGCCGTTGGTTTTCGAAGGCACATTTGCCGTTCACTGGCGTTTTTGTTTGTCTGCAGCACCTGTGGGGAGGAGGAACGTGGCAGACGACAAAGCCCTTCTTTTGTGTGCAGCGGGGGCTCACGGTTGCGGGGGTCCGGGAAGGCGCAGGCCGCAGGGCGCAGACGCCGCCCGGCCTCGCATGGACCTCTCTGCGCTCTGGCCCCAGGGTGTTCCGGTGAGAAATAGTCACCTGTTTCCGGTCTTCCCCCAAGAGCCCACTTACCACATCAGGGGATATCTTGGGGCCCTGGCTTAGATCACGAAGCTCTCCACAGACACATTTAGAAAGTTGAAAAGCAGTGGGTTATTATCTTATTTTTTGCCTTAAGGAAGTGTGTCTATATAGACCACTATACAGATGGCGTCTAGGAACGTCTCGCCCTGCGTCTTGCCCTTAAAAAAACAAACAACCTGAGATAAAACGACTGGAACAGAGCCGTGACCCTCAGCAAACAGTGCTGTGCTGGCCTTGCAGGGACAGGGGTACCCTGTGTGGCCCTAGCCCTCCTGGGACAGGCCAGCTGTCTGCAGGGAGTGGGCCGGGCGGGCGGGTTGCCTGGGCGCCGCGGAGCTGACGGCCCAGGTGGGAGCGAGGGCCCAGCGTGCACCCCCGGCGGGGGGGCAGCCCTGACCTGCCCCCCTTCAGTGACGCCTGGTTCCAACTGTGGAATAAGGGACGGAATTGCAGAGAGGAGAGGTGGAGGGGGCAACATTGGCTGTCTTCAGCTGACGGCTCCGGAAGGACACTGGAGGACAGGCCACCTCTCCCGAAGGCCTCCCCAGGCCCCGGCTGGAGCAGACGTCACACAGCTAAAGGTGAACTCCGCCCTCCGCCGGCCTCGCCCTGAGCTCCCCCCAGCCACCCGCCAGGGGCGGTGCTGGACGCTGGGGCAGATTCTCCGGAGGGGAACGATCGATTGCAGGGCCCGGTGCACAACTCGATCCCAATGCCAAGGCGGGCGCCCAGAAGACAGGTCCGTCCAGCAGAGGCCGCCGAGGGACAGCCGCCCGGCCCCCAGGCCCTGGGAGCCTGCGCTGGGGAGGTGAGGCCCTCGGGCAGCCGGCGGAGCTCATTTGTTCGACGACACTCACCCCCGTTTGCAGGAAGGCCTGCAGCTCGGTCCGAAGCTCTGACCCGGAACCGAAGAGGAGGGCGGAAGCGCAGAGCTGTGTCTGAATTCTGGCCTGCACGTCACCCCCCTGCACCCTGAGCACAGCAGGTGACCTCTGAGCCCCCTTCTCTGCCTGAACCAAAGATGCCCCTGCAGGGATGCCGTGGGGACCCATGACATCAGACGCCACACTGGCCAGCAGAGGCTCCGAAGCCCAAGGCACGGTTCCATCCGGAGTACCGGCTGCTGGCCTGGCTCTGTCTGGGGCGGGGCGGGATAGGGGGGAGACAGGAACTCTGGAGGGGGACACAGAACTCTAGTTGGTAAGAGAGAGGCCACCTGAGGTGGGTGGCCTACAGGGGCATGTGGTGGCTGCTCCAGTTGGGGGGTGGTGCCCGGCCTCCCTGGGGCGGTGGGTGTCAACATCCTGGATCTGAGGAGATGGCTGTCCCAGAGGGGGGTTTCCGGGCGAAGATGGCAACTGTCAGTGTAACAGCTCCATAAACTGAATTTCAAAGAAAAAATGCAGCCTTATATCAGTGTCCAAGAAGTGGTGGTTCTTTATTTTTAATATTCTTTTTTAAAAAAGATTTATTTATTTATTTATTGAGAGGGGAAGGGAAGGAGAAAGAGAGAGAGAGAAACATTAATGTGTGGTTGCCTCTCACGTGGCCTGCAACCCAGGCATGTGCCCTCACTGGGAATCGAACCGGCGATGCTTTGGTTCGAAGCCCAAGCTCAATCCACTGAGCTACGCCAGCCAGGGCGTGTTTTTTTTTTTAATTTTTTTTTTTCAGTAAGAGGACAAGAAGGTGTATTTATGAAACAACTAGTGTGTGCCAGGCTCCATGCCAGGGGGAGGGGACACACACACACACACACTCTTTTACAGCCCAATCGAGATAAGAAGATGGTAATTTTTGATAAGTCAATGGAATAGAAGCAGTGGCTTTGCCGCAGCTGAGGGTCAAAACTGTTACCAACCCCGCCCCTGCCACACACACACACACACACACACACACACACACACACACAGAGTCTGTGTTGGCCGGGTGCCGAGCCAGTGGCTAGAGGCGAGCCACAGCCACTCCCTGAAGCTCTGTGTCCCCGGCAGGCAGGCAGGTGACAGGCAGACAGGTGGCTGGGAGCAGGCTGTGGCTCTCCTGTTGACACAGGACGGAGCTGAGGCTCAGAGGCCTGCTCTCACCCAGCACACTCCTTTGTTAAGTGCGAATGAAACCTCTCCTGGCCCCTCCCGAACTCCAGCTGGTCCAGTGCTCAGCTGGGAGGGACTGCAGGTCGGCACGCCAGCCTCACGAGTGGGAGCTGTGTCCTGGACGCCTTGCTCAGCACGGTACAGACGGCTCCCTGGAAACCCTGAGCGCCCGGTGAGGCAGGTCCCCGGTCAGCACCCCTGCTCACCACCGAGGGGCGGGGATGGCAGGGCCAGGGGACCAAAACCCACAGGGGGGCTGGAACCCAGGCCACCCGCCTCCTGAGCCACTTCCCCTGACGGTGGTGTGCACGGTGACCGTCAGCGGTGCATGGACACAGAGCTCTCCTCTTAACGGCTGTGTCTTTATTGTGGTGAAACATACACAACACGGAATGGGCCACTTGAACCTTTCTTTCCTGTACAGCTCGGTGACATTAAGCACATTCAACTTTTGGGGCAACCATCACCCACTTCCAGGTCTGCCATGCTTCATCTCCTGAGTGGAAACCCTGTCCCCCTTAAACAATAGACCCCCGTGCCCCTCCCCCACCCCCGGAAACCGCCACCCTGCTGTCTGTCCCCAAGAGGTCATCTACTCCAGTACTTCCAGTAGCACAATCACAGTGCACTTGTCCTTTCGTGACCGGTGTCCATCCTTCAGCGTCACACACGCGGCAGGTGTAGAATTTCCTTCCCTTTGAAGGCTCGGTAAGAGTGCACGGTGTGTGTCCACCACACGTTGTTTGCCCACGTACCCCTCTGTGGGCACGCACGTGGGTTACTAGCACCTCTTGGCTGTTGTGAATGACAGGAGTGTTTGGAACACCGGCGCTCTAATCCCTGCATCATTCCGTTACCCTCAGAAGTGGAATTGTAGAGTCGCATGGTAAGTTTCTGAGGAGCTGTCACATGGCTTCCAGGAGTGGGTGCGCCACTGCCCATTCCTGCCAGCAGTGCGCTGCGTTCCGATTTCCCCGTTCTAGCCATCGCATTATTATTATTATTACTATCACCACCATCATTATTATCACAGCCCTCAGAATGCGCATGCAGGGTAGCTCCCTGTGGTTTTGAGCTGCGTTTCCCTAATGATCAGTGATGTTGGGCATCTTCCCAAATGCCTGCTGGCCATTTGCAGGTCACTGTTGATACAGTCCAGCTTGGCTACGGTTCTCTGTTGCCGACTGTGTCCTGGGCACCGTCTGCAAGAATCCAACGTCACGAAGTCCTCCCGTTTCCATCTCACGGTGAACGTATTGAACGTGAAAATAGCGAGCACTCGAACTATCATAGATGTCTTGTATTAGCTTTAACGTTTTTAAAATGTAAGATGTTAAGAACTTAAGTAAACACCCTAGGTAAGCAGGCTATAAATTCCCACTTACCCTGGAGGTCGGAGTTGAGCCCAACCTCTCTCCCTGGTGCAAACCCCGTACCTGTCGGGACGGTCCCCGAGTGAAGGCTGCCTTACCATTATTGACAAGTGTCGCCACTACCCTTCCGCCAACACCCTGCATGGCAGTAGACGTATTTAGAAGGATGCGGCGTAGCTAACTAAGCACACGGTTTACCAACATCAGTCATCTGGGCACCCCTGCGCACAGCCGGAAGCCCACCCCCGGGGGTAGGGCGGCGAGACCTTGGTTTCCCCTTCTGCACAACCGGAGGTTGCCGACAGCGCAGCCCTGTCTAAGACAAGGGGGGGTGCCCCGGGGGCTTCCGGCCCGGAAGCCACAGTCCAGGCCAAACCCTGTTAGGCACCGCAGAATCCGCGCGAAACCTTCAAGGCGGCCTCCCGCCCGGAAGTGAGGCCACCTCACAGGGACTACAAATCCCAGAGACCCCGCAGGCTCGCCCATGATGATTGGCTCATTGCGCCATCTATCAGCCAACCAGCCAGGAAGCCAGCCAATTGCAAGAACAAGGAGGCGGGCACCCCCCCCCCAGCCACTCCAAAGTCTGCAACGGAAGCGTGGCGGGACGCTAAAAGAGGTTTTTCGGAGCCTCACGGACGATTCTGCGATCGGAGAAGGGATAGGCCAGTCCTCTTAATAATGACTTGGGACAGACATCCTTTACGCCCAGAAGACTCTGGTCTCCGCTACTCCTGCCTGCGGCGCCCGCCGGGTGGGACTCCCGCTGTCCCGCAGAACCCCGCCCCTGCCTTTCATTGGCCCCCACCCTGACACGTGAGGGTCGGGGTGCGGACGCGGCCCGCCCGGGCTGGGGAAGAGCTCCGCGGACTCGGGCCTGTGGGTCGCATGGACACCCTGGCGCTGGGCCGGTGGCGTCGGCGGAGGCTGGAGGAGCTGCAGGTTCCGGGGGACGCGGTGAGTCCCCCGGGGCCTGGGCCTTAGGAACGGGAGGGTGGCGTCCTCGGGCAGGCCCTCAGTGGGCTTCCCGTTTCCCGGTGGCCCGGTCTACGAGGAGGCAGGACTGCAGCGGCCAGACCACACCTGTTGGGGGCGGAGCCCTGGGAATGGGCGGGGCCTTATTCCGGCCGCGCCTGCGCAGAAGTGCGGGACCAGAGCGCCATCGGACCCGCACACTCCCGAGCCCTGGGAGACCAGCGCCTCTCCTGGGCGCGCGGGGCTCCCTGCAAGGCCTTGAGGCCTCGGGGTCTGGGCAGGTGGTGGCGTTCCCCCGTCCCGCCTCCCGCGCCCGCGAAAGCCCCGGGCGGGTGCGGAAGGGGAGCTGGTTGAGCGGCAGATACCTCCGCGGCAGGAAGAGGGTCTGACTTTGTACCCTGCCGCACACGTCTCCTCGCCACGCACTGCCTGATCCCTAAGCCGGCGTCGTTTAGGTTGTGGCACAGTCACCCCACTCCTGGGAGCGTGTTGCTGGGGCACAGGGGTGGCTTCTGTAGCAGCGAGGCTTCGCACCACGTCGGCTCAAACAAGGTGGAAGTTTGATTCTCCCCTCTAAGGGTGTAAAGGGGAGCGGTGCTGGGCGGGGGAACGTAGGTACCCTAAATACACGTGTGAGGACAGGGCGCCCCAGACCAGAGACATCCAGGGTCGCAGGTTCCTTCTGTGTCGGCTCTGCCATCCCCGAGCCTTGTCTGCTTCTGCGGGGCCGGTGCGGGGTCGGTGCCGGCTGGCTGGTCGCTGCAGGGCTCACCCTCCGGGCTGGGAAGTAAATAGTGAAGCTGCGTTATCATACTGAGTCATCACACTGATGTTGGGAGAGCTGCCTGTGGCACCGCTGTAGGAGATGAAAGCGGTGGTGGTCAGAGGGAGGGCGGGGTCGGGGAGTAGTGCACAGACCACGGAGTTGGCAGGGACGAGAGCAAAGGACAGGATGGGCGATGAAAGCAGACAGCCCCACATGTGTGTGCAGGAGGAGGGACTGGCGGCTGGGCCGCTGCTGGAGTGCCCTGGAGGGGGATGTGCGAGGAGGCGTCCAGGGAGGCTCCCAGGGCTGTGCCTCCAGCACCTGGGCGGGCTGTGGCGCCCTCACCGAGGGGAGAAGGTGGGTGCGGAGCTGTGGCAGGGAGGGGAAGCTGAGGCGCAGAGAGGTGGCGAACCCCCAGTTCAGTGATGCACAGCGAGCAGGTGGTGGGGCTGGGGCTCACCCCCCTCTGCCCACACAGCCCGTCTCCCAGAGCACAGCTCGCACACGGGGCTGGGAGATGCAGACAGGACGCTTCATGGGGAGGTCCTGAGCTGGTGGTAAAGCAACAGCTGGGCTGTCAGGGACTTGGAGCTGCAGGTCATTACTGACCAGAAAGAACAGGGAAGGCCCTGGCCCAGTGGGTCAGAGGTTTGTAGCGTCGCCCTGCACACCAGAATGCGGGTGTGACCCCCAGTCATTGGGTGCATTTGGGAAGCAGCCCATCGACTTCTCTCTCTCTCTCTCTCTGCCCCCCGCCTCTCCCCCAACTCCTCCTCTCTCTCTAAAATCAACAAACATTTCACAGCCCTGGCTGGCGTAGCTCAGTGGTTTGAGCGCAGGCTGCGAACCAATGTGTCGCAGGTTCGATTCCCAGCCAGGGCACATGCCTGGGTTGCAGGCCATGACCCCCAGCACATTGATGTTTCTCTCTCTCTCTCTTTCTCCCTCCCTTCCCACCCTAAAAATAAATAAATAAAATCTTTTTTTAAAAAAGACTACATTTAAAATCTTCAATCTCCTGCCCCCATGTCTGGCTGTCGCCCTCACCTGCGCGACCTCCTCCTCATTGTATGTCACCTCCACTCTCCCAGGCACTTTCTAATTCACACCTTGAGTCTGACGTGATTTCCTTTTCTCCTTCTGTCACTTCCCTGAGTTCTCCCGACTCTTTCTTCCTGTTCTTGTCCCTTCCTGCTCGTGGTTTTGCATTTGTGATTCAAGGCGATTTGTGTGTCCTCAGATGTCAGATGTTTTTAGGGTGTTGAACCACGGTTTTCTCTCTGATCGGGATTGTTTCCGGGGGGATTTTTATGGTATTGGTGGTCCCGAAGGACCGCCAGTCTGAGGGCCCCCCTCCCCGTCTGCGGGCCGGTCGGGCATGGCCGCCGCTGCGGGTGTGTGTCTGGGAGGCTGGCAGAGGGCGGGCATCAGCCTCCGGCTGGTTTGGTCTGCTTTACTCCCAGGACCCGGAAGCTCCCTCCTGTCCTTCTCTGCGTCTCCGCCACCCAGCGCCGAAGGGCCGTCACCCACCCTCTTCTCCTTAGAAGACGCCCCGGTGCCTGCTCCCCGCGCTGTGCGGGCGGCGCCGTCCTTCCTCGCACGCCCTCTGCTCCACACACTGCTGCCCTCGCCCTCTCGTCTGTGGCGGGTGGCCATCACCACTCCACTGGGGTCCCTCCTCCGTCCGCCCCTGTGCCCTCCTGTCCTCGCTCATCACAGAGCCCAGTGGGCGGGGGCGGGTGGGGAGCCCCGGGACCCACCCTCCAACTGCCTGGCATTTCTTTTACTGTCCTGTTTCAGATCCTGGCGTTCTCTGTCTGTAAGCTGTGCTCGGGGTGCGGTTGGGGTGGATTTCGAGAGCTTCCCTGTCTTTGAGCCCCACCTTTTGGGGAGGGCTGTAGGAGGTGGGTGACTGGGTGGCTGCCCTTGTCTTCCGCCACCCGGAGGTCAGGCACTCAGGCGAAGACCTCACTCCAGTGGCTCGAGGGCTCGGAGCTGCCGTGTGCGTTTCCACCGCCGAGTGCCTGCTCTCGGGTGTGCTGGAGAACGGCAGAGGGACCAGCAAGGAAGCTTCCACGTTGAACGAGCCGTTGAGTGAAACGGCGCCGATTAGAAAACATTAAATAAGTAACAGCACAGATCATAGATCACTGGGCACGACTCACGACGATGGTTTGCATGTGACTGCAGAAGGCGCGGCCTCTGGTGTCACCGGTGGGCACTGTCTGCAGCCGGGCCTGCGGCGACCCACAGCACCCGAGACGCCGCTGGGCCAGGCCGGTCCCCGGCGTCCAGCTCTGTCAGCGAGGACAGTGTGACCGCGGAGTGCACAGTCGTGGCACCGCGAGAGCGAGGAATCTCCCTTTAGCTCCCGGGATCGATTGGTCTGGCAGTTTGTCCTTAGTTCAAGGGGAAGCAGGCACCGGACGCTGAGTTTTCCGAAGGTTATAGCCACGGGTCGCGTGCACCTCTCCTGGAAGGAAGCTGGCTGGGTCTCCGGTGTCCCTAAGGAGAGGAGTGGCGGGCACGCGGGCTCTCCCTGCTGCGTCGAGGAAGCCACGCCACTCAGTACTCGGCAGCGTGTGCCGAAGCGCAGGACTAGTTTCTTGAACAGGATTTACAGGGTTTGTACATTTCCAATATCAATAAACCAGTCACGATAGTTTACGACAAGAGTTTCTGCCCACATTATTAAAAACAACTATTTTAAATCTATAAAGCTAAGTAAATATCAGACAACTCGGGAAGTAACGAGGTTACGCGTAACTGATGACGGTTATTCCCGAAGACGAGCTTTCAAGTCTCCTCCTCAGACGTCCCATAAACCCTCCGGGCTCCACAGGGCCCGCGCGTGCAGGCGAAGTTTGCGGGGAGCAAATCGGATTAGAGCGCGGCGCGCTTTGCAATGCCGTCTCGAGTGAAACTTTGTCTGTTCCAGAAGCGGGCCTGCCGGAGCTCGGACGCCGCTGCGCAGTGGCGGGGCTGCCCGCAGGTGCTGGCCGGCGCCTGGGGGCCCTGCCGGGGCGGCGAGGAGCTGGAGGCGCCGCCCCGAGGCCTCCTGCCCGCACCGAGGCCAGACAGCAGCCCGGGGCCACCGACCGCCGGGGTAGGTTCCTGTTCCTGCCACACCAGCCGGGAACCCACTTACATGCTTTAATAAAAAGCGCCAGTAACCATTGTTCTGACCCGTCTGCGGCTGTGATTTGTTGACCAGATCCCTCCGAGCGGCGGAAGGAGCCCAGCCCGGCCCTGCCCGAGGTGCCTTGCAGGGGAGTCTGTAAGTGCCTTAACCTTCTCGCGCCCCGTAAGCGCACACCTGTCTTTAAATTTTAGATCCATAAGACGAAGTCGTTAGAGACGGCAGTTACATTTCCACGGGACGAGGGGTGTAAATAAAACGGCCCAGATTGATTTAAGCTTTTCTTAGCATTCTTCTGGGGTGCAAACTAATTTGTTCGCAGCTTGAAGTTGGAAATGGACATTGCAAATACATTTACAGTGTTCTTGAAAGCAGGAGTCAGGGAAGGGAACAGGCCCCCAGATACGATGAACACGGAGACCCTGGCCGTGCATCTGGGAGAGAGGCCACCCTCACTTAGTGACCCAAGCAGGAATCCACTTGTTTCTCCTTGTCTCTGCGTCAGCCTCTCTCTCCCGGGCCGGAAACTGCCCGCAGACCGCAGGCGTCGGGGGAAGAGCAGTGTTCGCACCAGCAGCTCAGAGTGGAGGCGGTAGGTCTGAGCGCCGCCCGGGCGGGCGGCAGGTGGGGGCAGGCGGCAGGCAGGGACGGGCGTGTGCATTAGCCCAGTAACACCTTTGTTATTAATGCTGAGCTCATTCTAAGAACAAGTTAATACATCTTTGATAACCTCTGTAATTCTTGGGTGATTCAATTTAAAACCAGGAATCCTAATATTGCAGCGAAGCAGACTTGTTTAATGTCCACACAGAAGCCAGGCATGTGTGTGCGTGTGTCTGCGTGTCTGTGCATTTCTGCCATTGCCGAGAGATTTCCAGAGAAGCCGTGTCCTTCTGTCTTTGACGAGCAAAGGACTGAATCAACAAAGGAGATCCTCAGTGGACAGGCGGCAGCTCCCGTGTCTTACAGTGACGGGCAAGGGTGTCGCTCTAAGCCAGGACGGAGACTGTGTCTGTGGTCACCCCCTGGTAATCTGAAGCCATCAGACACGCACGAGAACAGCGCCTCACGGCAGAGTCACTCCGTGGGGGCGTGCTCTGCTCCCCGGCCTGCGCCGTCCCCAGGAAAATCCCCGCAGGTTATGTGGTTCTGCGCGCGGGGGGCTGGGGGGGGAGGGTCAGAGACCCAGCACCCGAACTGCGCTGTTGCAGGCCGACGCACGTGACCGTCAGACGTGCCCGGCAGTGCCGGGAAGTAACACTTACCTCGAGGAATGGGACCCACTCTGGGCCCCCGGGCGATGCCGCCACCGACCCTCCGTCTCCTTACCCCGCAGCGGCGGGACACACTGCCCCCGCCCCACCCCCGGGGCATGCACGCCCGGACCGCGACGTGGGCCTGCGCGCTCCCGGAGGCTGCGTTCCAGCACCAGGGGCTTAAGGGAAAAAAATTTGGCTCAAGTGGCTGATGGGATCGTTTCGGCTAATATAGTCTGTTTGAACAACAGCACCTGTTTGAGGAGGGTTTTCCCTTCCTTTGTAACTCCCCAGACGCGCCTCTGCCGCGCTGCACAGGAAATGAGTCTGCGAGCAGAAGACCTATATTGATATGTAAATAGATCATTTTTTGTTAATGCTCGATATTCTTTTTCATCTAGGTTTCAGAAACCGACTTTAAAAAACCAGTTCCTCTTTATTTGTAGTTATTTTCAATAAAATTTCGCCCAGGCTTGGGAGATTTAATATTTACACCCACTATTTCTGAAAGTCTAGTGTAAATAAAGATTGAAATGTGAGTTTGGAAAGTCACGCCTCTTGACATTTGAGCAGGCCGTAGCCGCGTATATCTTCTTCTGCTAATAACGCGGCCAGTTTCCCTCCTAAGCTGTTAAAATAAGAAGACACTATTTTTGTATTCCAGAACATTGAAAGTTCAGTGTTAAATAAAAAGCAAATAGTATTTTTAGCGATGCAGGATCCCAGGGAGCCATGCTTAACAAAGATCACGGGCGGGGGCGGCCCGCGCGCCAGACGGCTTCATTAGGCACGCGCCGCTCCGCTCCGCTCCACGCACGGGCGCCTCCTGCCCCCGCGCGGCCCGGGGGCGGGGCCGTGTGGGACTCCTGGCGGGAACCCAGCTTATGTCTCTCAGCGTATTGGGCGCTTCTCCCCAGTAACCCCGGGGCGGGGCCCGGGGGCGGGGCCGTGTGGGACTCCTGGCGGGAACCCAGCGCACGCCTCTCAGCGTATTGGGCGCCTCTCCCCAGTAACCTGTGCACCCCCGGATTCGCTGGTGTGTTTCCAACCGGTGGAGCATCCGCAGATCTGATCTCGGCGTGGCCGTCTCGGCTCGGGGCCCGAGTGCCTGTCCTCATTCTCATCGTGGGTCATTGCCCACGAAGGCAAGGACTCCCCACACACCTCCTCACACTGGTTTTCCCTGTGGGCGTGCCGGCCCTGTCCCTGTCAGGTCCGCTCCAGCTGGCCGTCTCCACAACCCCGGCCCGGTGGTTGCCGATGGAGTCCCTGAGATGGCGGTCCCTGGGAAGGTCCAGCCCGTACTCAGGGCACTGTACTCCATGCCCTGGTTACTGCCGGCTGGAACAGAGCCGTCCTCTGCCGGTGCGGTGGGACATGGCAGCAGGTCATGTGGGGTGACCCTGCAACACTGCGGCCGGGCCGCCCTCTGCTGCACTCCACCCGGCACTGCGGGACTGGCAGCCAGGCTCCCGTTCCTTCCAGGGGGGCTCCGGCGCCGGACTGGGGCCTGCGAGCAGCCTCCTTGTCTCCTACCAGCTCAGCCCGTAGGGTCCCAAGTGTGACGTGGAAATCACACCACTCTTTGTAAATTCAGACCCGTTACATGAAACCTCACAAGGCTGCCAGAGCTCCCCAAACTAGTCCACAAAGGTGTGTGGGGGGGAGGCAGCATTGTAAGACAGAAAACCCCGGGAACCGCAGACGTGGGGTGTCGGTAGGCACGAAGGTGCTGTGCCCTCAGCACCTGGTTTCCAGGGGATCGGTCTCGGACACTCTCACCCAGGAGGCCTTGTAGGGAGGGGCCACCCTCAGATTTCCCTGGGTCGGGGGGCAGTCTCCGGCCCACCTCCTCGCAGCTCCCTCTCTGCTCGGGTGTCTGGCACTGGACCCCAGCGAGCGCGGTGCGAGGGCTGGGGGCCGGAGCGTTGCTCCCTCCCGTCCCTTGAGGGCAGCCTCTGGGCGCCTTCCTGCAGGGTCCCAGCTCCTGCAGAGACGGCCCCCGTGGCCCGGCTCTGGCTGGTCCTCCCCGCCCGAGGGTGGGCATCCCACCTCGGGGGTTGTTGGGTCGCCTGGCCCTGTCCTGTGTGGCTTCCCTCCGGCCTTTGCCAGCGTGAGGACCCTGATGGGTGGATGCATTCTCCTGGGAAAGGAAAAGAAAAGAAAAGAAAAAATTGCGGTTTTAAACACAGGCCTCTGGGTCAGAGAGAGACAAAGTGCCCCCCCACTTGGGGCCCAGGTCCCGGCCCAGAGCTCAGCACGGCCTCGGGAGTGCTGGCCCAGCCGGTCTGGCTGAGCTGCACAGGGGTCGGCGGGGTAGGGGGGTGTCAAATAGAAAAACTGTCGGGCCTTTTAATATTGCCCATCGCCGGTGTTCTCTGCTTCCTTTTATCTGGCGCTCGTGGGTTTTACTGCCCAAGCCGGAAGCCAACACGGACACCATGGTCTTTGGTAGCGCAGACTAGCACGCCCCCCCACCCCACTTCCTCCCAAACGGATCTGGGACCCCAGCCTGTTCACTGGAGCCAATGGCAGCTCCTGGAGTGGGGAGCCCTCCTGAGCCTGTGTGTCATCCCCGTTTCCACGCTGACCCCACGGCCTGACCGTGGGGGGGGGGGGAGGCGCTGCAGGGGCAGAGACGGAGGGCAAGGGGGGTGGTTTGGGTCATTTGCCGCCCTGTGGGGACAGCGGGAGGGGCCCGGTCGGATGATCACTGATTCCAAACGGACACACGTTTCCCCGCGCTCCTTTTACCTCCAAATGGGTGACCTTTACGGTGTTTGTCTGGCCTGTTTGCCTGCCTGTCTCACCGGTGGTGGCTCTGCACATCTGTAGCATCTGGAAGCACCGCCCTGGAGCGGGCGCGGAGCGCCGAGCCAGGCGCCGGCGGAAAAAAGTCCGCCCGCCTTCTCCTGGGCCTGCTGCGCTCCGTCCTGCAGGCCCGGGCTCAGGCCAGGGCCGAGGCCGGGGAGGGGGCGTTTTCAGACGCAGGACTGTCACCGCACGTGCACCGGGCCGCAGTGCTCCACCGCACAGGCCGCGTCCCCGTGCGCCAGGAAAGCGTCAGACCTGAGCGATCGTTCCGCCGCGATTTCCGCTTCCTGGCGCTGGCCCGCCCCGCGCTGCGCGCCCCCGAGGCCCGGTCGTACACGCTGTAAGCGCGCACGGCCTCAGAGTGGGGCCTCCCTCGCAGGTGGAGCCCGGGCCCCGGAGACGCAGCGCTGCGCGCGCGAACACGCAGCCCGGCCGAGGAGCCCAGTCGGTGGAATCAATGCCCACCCGTGCTCTCGTGTCGTTTCAGGGACATTTCAGCCACACCGGGAACGCCTAGACGGGCGAGCCGGCAAAGGGACACTCCCGTTTGGGTTGTGAGCCCCCACGTGGCGGCGAATGCGAACCTCTCACGGACGGATGGGGGCGCCCACCTGTTCCCTCCGCGATCCGGCCGAGCACCCCGTCACTTCCGCAGAGAGCCTGCGCACCGCCAGCACTCCCGAAGCCTTCTTCCCGTGTGTCTTGGCTGAGAGGGAGCCCAACGGTATCTTCCAGAAACCTCGGCCTCAGAGTTCCCGTGGGGTTGCAGAGCCCGTGGCTCGCGGAGGGAGCTGCAGCCCGATGAGGCCTCGCCTTACACGTCCCAGGGGCCCTGTGGGCGCCCCAGCGCTGCCCCTGCACCCTTTTCTAGTGGAAACCCTTATTTTTGTATTCCGTGCCCTGTAGCCCGGAACCGATTTTAGTAAATTCTCGCATCCAAACTGCTCTGTGTGACTCTGCACCCGGGCGTGGGAGACACGGGGCCCTTCGACATGAAATGGCGGTTCCCCTCTCACCCTGGGTTGTCAGCCTGTCGCCGGACGGGGCAGACTGGCGCCGTCCCCCCTGCGCCTGGAGGCTCCCGGAGATGTCCTGGGCCCCTGTGGACCAGGCCCTAACAGGTGCAGTGGGGGACAGGATGGCTGTCAGCTTCTCTCCCTTCCCGGGCCAGGGGTGGGACGAAGCCCCAGGCCCCGGGGATGGCGTGCGTCCCCCACGCAGGCCGGCTCTCTGCCCAGACCACGAACAGTCACAGGTGTGGTCCCGCAGGGAGCTTTGCCTTGGAAGGCCGGACAGGAGAGGACGAGGAGCCGGGGGGCGGGGGGCTGGTGAGCACTGGCTGGCGAGTGCCGGCCAGGCTGCCAGCTGTCCAGACAACGGACAGGAAGGTGGGCGTGCCGGCCCTGGTGTCCGGAGGCCACTGGACAGCTGGCCCCAGGGAGGTCACGGCTGTGGCAGATGCGGGACGGCCCTGCCCGTGCCCAGCAACCAAGACCAAGAGAGAGGGAGGGTTGAGCTTCCAGACCTTAAAATAGGTTTTTTCAAAGATCTTTAGTTGGTTCTTCTCTTTACATGCATCTTAATTTTTGTAAGAAAAATGAAAAGTTTTAGATTCACGACATGTTATTTTTGTGTGGCATCGCTGCTTTCCCCCACGTTCCCGGGGAGAGCAGTGCACACAGACTGCCCCCCCCCACTGGTGACCTGGAAGCGCTCTGCAGGGTGCGTGCCCCCTGCTGCTGCACCCGGCCCGGCGGCGCGGGGGGGGGGACACCTGCTTCGGAGCTGGACAGACGGGTTCAGGGCTTGTCTCCCCGAGGCCAGTGCCCAGCCCATGATCTTGAGCATCGTCACTGTCCTTGGGCCCGTCGTCTCCTGTGACTGGGATGGTGACCCGCAGGGCCTGTGCGGGGGACACAGGAGGGTGCACAGAGGACCCCAGTGACCACGCCGTGTCCGCCAGCCTCCCTGCACGGCCCCTCTGGAACCACCGAGAAAGGACCTGGGAGATCACAGCAGCGCGAAAGGGACAGTGGGCTCGAAGCCGGCCGGAGTCTGGGGGCCGGCGGTTTTACCGCGAGTCCCTGCTGTGAAGAGAGGGCTCCGCCTCCTCGCTCCCCGGCCGGTCTAGTGTGGGTCATGAAGGAGGAAGCCGGAGACGAGCTTCCAGAATGTTTCCACACCCCTCCGAGCCCCTCCCAGCCCGTCCCCCCGACCCCCGACCTGCTGTCACAGACGCCCACCCCGGCCTGTGGCCCCAGCGGTACAGTGGCCTCCACACCCCACCCACCCACCCACCCACCCACCTCCTCGAGGGCCCTACAGCCTGAAACCTCCAGGGGAAATGAACGTTTAGGTAAAACCTTTTGTTTCAGATGGCTTTTTAAAAAGATTTTATTTACTTATTTTTAGAGAGAGGGGAACGGAGGGAGAAAGCGAGGGAGAAAAACATCATTGTGTGGTGGCCTCTCGTGCGTCCCCCACTGGGGACCAGGCCCGCAGCCCAGGAGTGTGCCCTGACTGGGAATCGAACTGGCGGCCCTTTGGTTTGCAGGCCCGTGCTCAATCCACTGAGTCACACCAGCCAGGGCTCAGATGGCTTTTTTTAATGGTTATAAGAACAACCCCGGCTCCTTACAGAAGAATGCAGACAATACAGGAAGGAAAATAAATACCGCTCACCCAGACGCCACCTTCGCCCGGTGGGCACTGCCCCTGGGGATGGCTCCCTCTTCGTTTCTAACCCAATGTGTGTGGTGCGGGGGGGCCCCATCCCAGCAGGCCTTCGTGTCACCCCCCGTCCTGGTGCTAAGTACCCGCCTGGTCGGAAGAGGCTGTTCTCAAAGGCTGCAGGAAGTGTGGGGAGCGTCTCTGCAGCAGGCCGGGTCTGATGTTCGCTGTGACAGGCAGGAGGCAGGACGCGCGGGAGCGCCCACGGCGGGTGCTGTGACCTCGCACGGAGGCCGTCTCCTGCCTCGTGGACATGGCGGCGCTGCAGGTGCCCGCACGGATTCCCCAGCAGGCAAAACCTGCCCAGCTCTCCCCGAAGGGGCCCCGCACACTGAGGAGCGTGACATGGGACCAACCCTTTCAGGTTCTTCACCTTTGTCTTCTCGTCAAACCAGAGGACAGAGCGTGTTCTTACAGCCCGAGGACACAGACTGGTGTGGGTGTTTCCATTAGATAAACTTCCCAGTGTGTCTTTCATTATACTCCGTCACTGTTTGTTTTCTGTGTAGGGACAGACATGTCCACAGGCACCAGTTGTCATTGACGAAAATAAGTTCACGGCGGGTTCTAAACCAGCAGACTGTAAAACTCACAGGACATTCAGAAGCGTGGCAAACAGCTAAGGAAGCGCTAGTAGCACGACTGGAAATGTTTTTTCTTCTTGTACAATGTAGCCTCTTTCCACAAATGTTTAATGCTGAAACAATTCTACCTCAGACCCACCCTTAGGAAAGAAGAACGCCAACATTGCAGATCATCAGTAAGAGCGAACCGTAGACACGGAAGTCATTCGCAGCCGCGTCGCTCAGGGTGGCGAGGGGGGCGTTTCGTGGGCGCCCCTGTGAGCACCCCCGTGAAGCCCGCGGGTACTTGTTGCCTTGTGCTCGGTCGTCCCAGCCGTGGGCAGCGGCCCGAACGCCGGGACCGGGGAGCGGCAGGAGCCCCGGCCTGCGCGCTGCGGCCCTGCCCGCGACAGCCAGGACAGACACAGGGCCCAGATGTCCACCGGCGGGTGAACGGGTGAGGACCGTGTGGCATTCGCACGCAGTGGGCTGTCAGCCGCTTTGAGAGGAAGGGAACCCCGCGTAGGTGCGCAGCAGGGTGGGGGGTCCTGGGGGACGTTAAGGGGAGCTCAGTGAGCCTGGTCCCACCTGCTGCGCGGATGTGCAGACGCCGCTGTGCGGCGGAGTCCAGACTGGCCCGACTCCCGGGAGAGGAGCGTGGCCGGGCGGCTGCCCCGGAGGTCGTTTCGGTGCTGCCCACCTCTGCTGCACTGCCCGGACCTGCGGACAACGGCTGCATGGCACGCTCACCACGTTAGGTGTCCTCACTGCCGTGAAGAAAGCACAGACCTGTCACGGCAGTGGCACTTTGGGGGGAAGGCCCCCCCCCCAGTCTTTCCAGCAGGGCTCAGACACAGCCCCTCCCCCGGGGAGAGCCCTCCCTCCCATGCTCACCGCTGAGGGGGCTTCCTCCCTGGGCTGGTGGCCTGCACTCTCTCCTTGGACTTGAGCTCGGAGGGTGTCCAGCTCCGAGGTCCCGTGTCCCCAGCTGCCCGGGGTCCCTCCGGGTGTAAGGCACGCACACGGCAGGGAGCCTGGAAACCCGACACTGGCCGTGAGGCTTGAAATAACCCTGAACTTGATCGGAGAGTCACTTCCTGAGCGCTGCCCTATGTCCCACTTTTTCTGCTTTGATTCCTAGCAGTGTGATACGGACACCTGGGGTTTCTCCTCTGGCATTTTAAATGTGTCCTCCGACATTCCAATTCTCTGACCGAGGAGTCCTCCAAATCTGACCCCCAGGCTCTCCCTCCAGGACAGGGAGTGGCATCCCGCCCACGTGGCCCAGACGGATCGCCCCTGGGGCAGCCAAGCACAAACAAGGGGACTGCGCAGTGAGGAGCCCCCTCAGTGGCACCGGGAGAGCCCGAACCGCCCGAGGTCTCCCTGCCCTGCTCGCGGGGTCAGGACCCCGCACGGCCCCGGGAGGCCGCCCCTCCTCACCCCCATGTAAGCCGTGCGGGGCGTGAGGACGGGAGAGCCAGCCCAGGCACGCTCCGCCTGGCCCGTGGACGCGAAGCTGGGGCCCACCACTGGGGGCACACCCGGACCACGCCCCGTGGCCTCCGCAGTAGGAGGAAGTCTGTTCGGAAAACGTCCCCAAGCTCTTTTGCTAGGGAGCGCGCAGGGCCCGTGAGAAAAGCCGGTCCACTGCTGGGACTTGTGCGACCGTGGCGCCGGTGGGCGGTCCTGGCGCCTGAAACTGTCCCTGCGGGCCTCACCTCCCCTGGGCCCACCCCCTCCCCCAGGCCGGGAACTGCAGCCGAGTCCCTTACCCTGTGTCCTGAGTCGGGGCCTCACACAGCTGTTCCAGTAGCCCCAGAGGTAGCCCATAGAAGGGACCGTGGGGGCCCCAGCAGCAGGCACTGGGCCAAGGGAGTGGCAGGGAGACGGGGGCAGGATCCAGATGTGCAGGTCGTGGGGGGTGGGGTGTCTGTCCCCACCCGCCTGTGGACAGGGCGTCCACAGGCTCAGGCTCCACCCTCGGCAGTGGTGGGTGGGGCCCCAGAGGGGACAGCCAGAGCAGCCCTCCCCTGGCCCCACAGTCCTCCGGCCTGCAGAGGGCGCCAGACGGCCACTGCAAATTCCATCAGTGATGATGAGCCAGGGAGGGAGGCAGAAATCAAATGCCATTGTACTGAGCCCGAGGGTGACACGTGGGGGAGAGACCCTGGTCCTCGGAAGGACTCTGCGGGTGTCGGGGCTGTGGGCGCTGACCGGGCGTCGCAGTGGCCTCCGGGCAGGGCTGAGCTCCGGAGGCCCCGATGTCCCCTGCCGTCCATTTCCTCGCCAAGCGCCCAGCCCCCTGGGGCCTTGAACGGCCCCCCAGGCGACCGAGCGGACACGGGGTGAGAGGGAGCAGCCCGCCGCCGTCACCCGAGCACCAGCCATGACGCTGAGGGGGTGGCGGCCGTGAGCAGGAGGAACCGCAGCCCCAGCGCACGGCGGTGGGCCCTCGACCCCCAGGACGCCGCCGGGGGCTCCGCCCAGCCCTGCGGCATTAAACAGAGCACAGTGCCTGGCCCAGAGAAGGTCGTCCGGGTCGCACAGCCGGTTGGGTGGCTGCTCTGGAAGCCCCCCGGGATGTGACAGGCCAGGCGACCGTGGTGGATGGAAGACACTTCTGTCCCTTGTGGGCCCCTGGGCAACGCGGCGCGTGCCTTTCCTCCACTCGGGGAAACTGTCTTCCCCGGTTCTAGAGGGCGGGCGGAGCCTTAAAGAGCAGGTGTGCACGCACGGACGCACACGGCAGGGGCGCCTGCGCCGGTGAGGCGACCTCTGCCCTCCACCCCGGGACACGTGAGTGGCCGCTCCAGGGAGCGCGGGGGCTGGCCCTGTGCGGGGCGACGGGATGGCCGGTTGGAGCGGCCTCTCCCACCGGCGTTCGCAGCTGGGCTGGAGCCGCCGGAGCTGCCGGCGGCCGTGGCACCCCGGAGCCCCGCCCCGCCCGGCCCAGGGGCCACGGTGGTGCCACCTGCACTCCCGTGGCAGCGGCAGCTTTGAATGTTTAAAGGAGCGTGGCCGGCTTCCTGTGCGAAGTGCGTTTCCCCCGAGAGACCCCCACCACTTGATCTATTTTTGATTAAAACGTAAAAATTAAAAATTAAACCCAGTGGTAGCGTGGCTCCCCAGGGAAAACACACTTGGGCTGTGCCGCGTTCCCCACAGTAACCTGGGGACTCTCGCGGCCGCGCTCTGCCATCTGTGGGTGGTCTTCTCCCGTCCCACGCAATCGTGGCGCATTGCCTGCCTTCACGTGCGTGGGCTGTGGGCTGGTGCCTGCCAGCAGGTCCTGGGGGGCGGGGACAGGCGGGGCTGCTCGGCATGGCCCGCCCCCCTCCAGGTCCCCAGTGGGGTGTCCTCTGGCCCTGGGACGCAGGAGCTCACCTCCCCCACTCACATCACGTAGCATCACCAGGGATGGATGTCGCCCTGGAAACCAAAGCAGGCGTGGCGGGCTGTGCTAGGGAAGTGTGCTCACACAACCAACTCTGCCCCCTGTTTGCACCGGGCCGCGTCATCAGGCCGCTATGGGGGCTGGGAGACCAGGGTTTGGCAGGACCAGAGCGGGGCCAGCATCTGCAGCCATGGTCCCCGCCGCCCACGGGCACGCGCCACACCAGCGTGAATGGATGTGGCTCTCTGAGTCTCGACTTCCTCCTCTCGTGTGTCCTCTGATTGGACATGCCGTGGCTGCCACCAAATGAGGAGGCTCCTGGAGTGAAGGGTTTAACGCGGCCACTGGCAGCACGGCGCAGCCGCTCTAAGCTGGTGACTGTGTGTGAGGGCGTCAGGCCCGGGTGGCGTGGACACCCTGAGGCCAGTGTCCCAGCGCCCCAGGGCTGCCCCTGCTCTGCCCTTGGGGGCGCACGAGTGGGCCCACGCCCGACATCGGACACGTGTAGCTTTCCCTTCTGGCCTCAGGGTTCTGGCAGCAGCTCTGGCTCTCGGAAGGGCTTTGGGGAGGGGCAGTGGTGAGGGCGGCAGGGGCAGGCCCAGCACAGTCTCACTGCAGCGGCGGCGGTGAGCGGGTAGAGGGGGCTGGGGCCCAGTTCATGGTCGCCCAGAGCCTGCCCTGCGGGGAGCCCGGCTCCCCTGCCCTGGCTCCACACTTCCTCTGGGGGCTGGCTCTGCCCGCCGGACAGGCATTGCTGGGGCGCCTGCTCCCCTGCCCCCACGGCCTAGTGACTCCTGGAGCCCAGTGAGCGCGAGAGGGACAGGGCCTGGGGCTGGCAGGGACAGCAGTGGGTCGCCCGGCCAGCCCCCTGTGGGGCAGGCATGGGACTCAGCATGCCCAGCCAAGGACATGACCGGGGGACAGGCCGGAGCTGGGCCCCACGTGTCACCCACCCGTGGGCCGGCCAGCTGGTTCCTGGGTCAGCTAATCTGGCTCCATTTAAACGTAATAAGCGGGACCCTTCCCATCCACCCGGTGTACACCGTCCAACCTCACCCGGACCCTGGCCGTGAGGTCCCCCATGAGACAGTCGCCCTCGCCCTGGGCGGCCTCCGTCTGTGCCTCCCACCGGATGCTAAATCTCCCAAGTGAAAAAAAAAAAAAAAAGCAAATCAAGTGTATATCATTTAACTATCAAGTTGGCAAGAATTTTTTTTTAAATTCCAATACTTAGGGCTGATGGAGACGGTGGGGAACCGGCATCCGGACACCGTGGGCAGGAATGAATCGCGCCACCATCACTCTGGGAGACGGTTTGGCAGAATCCGTCAATACATAAAGTGCCCTGCTCCAGCGTCCGCTCCCTGCCCTCGTAAGGGTCGATTTTGTGTGGATTTACTCCCAAAGCTGCCTTCCGAGCCCTGTTCCTGGACCTCCTGAAGGAGGGACCACCGTCTTCGTCTCCTTCTGGGGTCAAACGCCGTCCGGGGAAGCCGTGACACCTGTCGGTGCTCTCAGGCCGGGGGCCGTGAGAGCCGCCGGCCAGGGGGACCCGCGCACCTTGCGCTGCCGCACCTGCTGCTTCGAGCCCGCGTCAAAGCGCATCTTCCCGGCCAGACATCGGCCCCGGGGCCTGGTCCGCCGCTCCAGCCTGGGGCACATTTCACAGACGTGCCCTTCCGGCCCCGGTCAGGACACCGCTGCTCCTCCCCCCAAGATCAGGCCCCAGGCTGTGCGCCTGCGCCCAGGTGTGTTGTCCGGAGGGAGGTGAACGCAGGCTCATAGAGACCCACCGTGCGGCTGTGGGAGCGCCCTGGTGCGGGGGGCAGCCAGGCGGCCAGGAGGCAGATGCTCCCGGTGCCGAAGCCGTGACAGAAGTGGGGGCTGCAGCAGCAGGCCCCCCGAGACACGCTGACCTCTGGGGCCCGAGCTTCCTTCCCACTCACGCCAGGGTGGCTTCCTCCTGAGCCAACGGGAAGTTCTGACCTGGACACTTCGGTCAGTGCCCAGAGCCCCTCCGGGGCCCTCCTGTCACCGGGGCTGGACACCTCCGGACCCCCACCCTCCCTCCGCGCTGGGCCCCCGCTAGAAGGTGCTGCTGCGCACCCTCCCTGTCACAAATGAATTAAAGACAACGTCCAGGGTGGGAAGCAATCGTGGAGGCGGGAAGTTTCTGGCCTGGCAAATAAATTGGATTTAAGTATATTACAGTCATAATCTTTTCCTGCCTCCCTCCAGACGGCCTCCGCGCGTGGAAAAATGAGAGCGCATTCACAGGCAAAGCGTGACCTGAGGGAGAAGCCTGCCGGAATCTGGGTTTTCAATAACGTAAGACAATAAAGCTCCGACTCCTAACCTGCCGCAATATGGTCAAAGTATAAAGAGCTTAGCTGCTAATAAAAGGGAAGGGGCCGCCCCTCCCGGCCGATGCCAGGGACCCCCCGGAAGGACGCGTCCTGGGGATCATCGCGGATTAGCCGGGGTCAGGCAGACACAAGGCCCCTTGTTGACCGATTGTCTGACACTTGTCACCTGCGGGTCTGATATTAATAAGTTCCGTGTGGATGTCCTTGGGGCACCCTCGCCCCTGTAATTGCACGCCTCCTGTCGTGACCCTGCGCTGAGCGGCGGGGCGACAGGTGCCGGCGGCGAGGCGCCTCTGTGTCACCCTTCTCGTTCTGGGCTGTGCTCGCCTCGCAGTGGCGCCTCCCCCAGCGACTGCCCCTCCCTGGGGGGCCGAGCACCCCAACTCCTCTCACCCCGGGGGGGGAGGGCACTGGTAGAATTCGGGACCCCGAACGGTTTTTGTCTGCGTGTGTGTGCCTTTCAAACGCCTTACCAGGGGCTCGTGGTTGCTAAGCTGCTCGCCAGGCGGTGCCACGTGGGCAGACGAATGGGCCATGTGCGCGAGACTGCGTGAGCACAGTCGGCGGGGGGGGAGCCCTGCTGGGGCAGGGATGTCCTCTGATGTGCGAGATGCCGGCCACCCGGCGCTGGCTGGGCAGCACCGTCACCCAGCCCCCGGGCCTGCCCGCACTGTGCCCTCCTCGCAGATTCTGCGCCGGACGGTCTGGTGGCTCCAGGCTGGGCCCCGCCTCCCGTATCCTGTGCTGTGCTCTTCTGTGTCATCGACACTTTAAAATGACCTTGAAGCCAAGTTTTCCAGCACATTCTAACTCTGCTAATTCCAGAGGTTGCCTCATCCCTTGAGCTGCACCTTGGAAGAGCCAGCCCCATTCCCAGAGGGGACACACAGTGGTCGAGGTGTCACTTCCGGGGTGGTCCCTCACAGGGAGAGAGAGAAAGGGGTGGGGGCAGCCAATGCCCCTGGAGAGACCCGCACTGCAGACCCCCTGGGCGCCCCAGATGTCTGGGGACGCTGCCCTGGGCCACATGGAGAGGGGGCAGCCTGGCACGACGCACATTTAGGCTGCATACCTGCCCCATGGCCACGCCCCACTGAGGGGACTCAGGACACTTTCCACCATGATTCCCAGCCCTTATGGAGCCGTGGGGGCTTCTCCCTTCAGTTGTCACACGCAGACAATTGACACGTGGTGCTCACAGGGAC